AAGTCCCAAATTCTTCAAAGGGCAGACTCCAAGCATGCCTCTTCCTTGTTTTATGGCTGATGGGCCTGGAGCTTTTCTTTAGCTTCTGTTTTATTGAAGTTAAAAGAGCTGAAAAAACTTCAGTTGGCTGTTGTCTTGAGAGACTACCTTGGAATTTACTGAAGCTAGATAACAGGTTTAGTTATTAATAAGATGAAAATAACTTACAGGAGATTTAAAACACTGTTGTTTTTCACAAGGAATCAGACTTCTATTCCTTTGTTTTAAAGGCAAACATTCAGAAAATATACACATTATGAGCAGTTTTATTTATGCATCTTTAAAGAATTCATTATTCTCCTGCAAGGCAAAATCTCACATACTTCCTTGTAAATAAGAATACAAGTAATTTACAATCTGAATCAATTTTACGAATAGGAAACATTTGAACCAATAAGCATAAATATTCATTTACTTTAATAGCATATATGATGCAACAAATTAAACATAATTTTATAATATTGTGAGATTATAATCCAAATTATTTTAATTGACAAGTACATTATTCAGATTTTGTCTCAATCTTTGAGAGTTCCAGGGATCCTACTAGAACCCTCAAATATATGAGACTATGAAGAATTTAGAGGTCTAAATGAGTTAAACAAAAAGTACCTTTAGCATTTAACTGAACATGTTAAATAGTGTATGTTAGACTTAATCAATGCAAGGACAACACTGTAAGTTGAAGACCAAACAGCAAGAAAATGACACAAGAACATTTCCCCAGTGGAGGTGGGGAGTCTGTTCTGGCCAGGTCCTGTTAAATTTGTTAGACCTCTCTAAAATTATTTACCAGGAGAGAAAAAGGAGGTTAGTCTCGGTCCGTCCCAACTCGTCTGTCAGTCACACACGCACCCAATTCAGAACAAGAACAACAACTTAACAATTTAAGACAAAGACACAACTGGAGGAAGAGTATTAAAACAAAATTTAGTTTTTGTCCGGACAAAAATAATAGAACACCAACAATATTGACAAAACAAACATAAACACAAACACCAAACATGTCAGAACAGAGACACATAACTATTAAATCTCTTGCAACTTCCAACCTCTTTTTTGAAATACTTTAACCTGGAGATATTTTGTAAAACAAGCACACATAATTCATCTCATGTTTTAGATTAATTTAACAGTGGATTTGGACCACTTTATATCATATTACTTTTGTGAAATCAAGTTACAGAACACTTTTTTTTTGTTTTTCGTTTTTTTTATATAAACCTTAAATGACTTATATAGAACCTTCCTGGGGATGCCAGGGAAAAATCTGACCAATAAAATCCAAAAAGGCTTTGAGGTCTTTTTTAATCACCCAAATTCCTCGTGTCTTGAATAAGTCTATAAGACTGATAAAACCTTGCAAGAATAATTCTTGCTGTGATAATGCTTGTCCCATCTTACCTTAACCCCGTAAGATTTGCGCCATGAATTTCCCTGAGCACGACTTCCGGCGGGTCAACCGTGAAACTGCTCACTCGGTGTTCTACTCAACACCACTTCGAGAGGCCTCTCCTTTTGCGTGGCGATCTCCCTGTCGGTGGTCTGCACACCAGCCACGTTGGGCGCCAAATTGTCCCGTCCAGCAGGACAGTCAATGGGGGTCGCAACCACCTAGGAGAGATTGGGGGACAAGACACACGAAGAATGGACAGCAAGACAGGATGTCTGATCAAGCTGTCAGTTTGAGGGTTTTTATACTCTTCAGTAACTAAGGCTCAGGGAGGAAAGGAGAAACTAGGATGCAAGCCATGGTCTCCAGACCGATTGTTCTTGAGCAGTCACCATATCCACAATAGTAACCAACATATCAACAATAGCATAGGTAATCAGTAACAAGATGTCGGCAGGTACAGCATAAATCATATTCTAAAACAGTCGCTACAAACAATTGAAGCTAAGCGTGTGATTAGTTTCATAACTTCTTTCTCAAGCATCTAGCCAGCCAGGGATTTTCCACTGGCCCATAGTTCTATATTCAAAATGGCTTCAGTGTGGCTATAGTACACGGCTCCTGACAGATGGGAAGTGGGCCACCTGGGTAAGATGGCGGCACACAGGCAGCTCTTCTACCTACTGCATCACAGCAAAGCCTTAAGCACATTCTTTTAACTAAGTAACCAATTCTTTTTCCACACACAATCACCCACCCTATGGGTGATGCTTCCCTGGAGAATCCTAACACAGTCTGGTTGTGGCCAGCTCACTTACTCCCTTTACTTGTGTCTAAATTGCTCTTACTTGCACCCCCGCCCTCAATCCTTCTCCAAATCTGATCATTTGTTGGTCTGCAGCAGAACAGACTAATTGCTTTTAAAGATTGCACCTCATTCCTGGGACTGGTATAATGGCTCAACTGGCTAATCTTCAGTCTACAAACATCAACGTCCCATGTGGGTGCTGGATCATGTCCCACCTGCTCCACTTTCCATCCAGCTCCCTTTTCTTGCCTGGGAAAACAGCGAAGGATGGCCCAAAGCCTTGCACCCCTGTGGGAGACTCAGAGGAAGCTCCTAGCTCCTGAATGGCTCAGCTTCAGCGATTGCAGCCATTTGGGAAGTGAACCATTGTTGGAAGATTTTTCTCTCTTTCTCTCCTTCTCCCTGTAAATCTTTCTCTGTAAGAAAACAACACGATTCTGCCTGCTGCTCTGAGAAAGAATACACATCTCCCATTCTGCTCACCTTGTACTTGGCCATGTCTTTAGCCAAAAGAATGAGGACAGATGTGGCACATCCCATGTCCCTGTGCAAACACTTAGCAGTATTGCATAGATTGCCATTCCCACTCTCCTCAGCCTGGGGCATGTCCAGAATGAAGGTGTCACCAAAATTGCAGCAGGTCCACAGTTGTCCCTCGACCACATGGTATGTGAGCTGACCGCTGAGCTCTTCTGCTGTGTCCCCTGGGCTTCTAGCTCAAAGTTGAGAGGAAATCTATAGCTAGGCAGCATGGGGGCACTGGGGAACAGCACATGGCATGTAAGACACTCAGGAAGGGAACAGGGTCATACTTGTAAGATTGGACAGTTCTGAATTACATGAAGAGACTGAAATGCAAGATAGGCAGACGGGACAAGGGTCCAAGGCAAGAAGCAGGGTGAAGAATGAGGTGGCTCCTTTTCGTCTCTCCCTGTCTATGTGCACCCACAATGTGTAGAACTCAAACGAACTCTCCCCATGGGGCTGGTGCTGTGACATAGCACATTAAACCTCCAACCGTAGTGCTAACATCCCATATGGGTGCCAGTTTGAATCCTGATTGCTCCATTTCCATTCTAGCTGTCCACTAATACACCTGGGAGAGTAGCAGTGGATGTACCCACATGGTAGACCTGGCTTCAGTCTCGTCCAACCCCAAAACTTGTGGCCATTTGAGGATGAACCAATGGATGAAAGATCTGTCCAGCCTTTCTCTCTCTGTCTGCCTTTAAAATAAAGAAATCTTAAATAATAATAATAATAATAATAAAGTGTACTCCCAGCAGCCTCACATTCAGGGAAGTGGAGTTTGAGTGGGGAAGAGGACAAATGTGTCTCTTAACAACAGATTGGAATAGACCCTTGGGGCCCCAGGCACCATACTGGTAATAGCTCTCCTAGGTCATTGAAAATAACTATAAAAACATTAGGACCAGGGCCTGGCGTGATGGCGCAGTGGTTAAGGTCCTCACCTTGCACACCAGGGATCCCATATGGGCACAGGTTCTAATCCCGGCGGCCCCGCTTCCCATCCAGCTCCCTTCCTGTGGTCTGGGAAAGCAGTCGAGGACGGCCCAAAGCTTTGGGACCCTGCACCCGCGTGGGAGACCCGGAAGAGGCTCCTGGCCTCAGCTCCAGCCATTGAGGCCGCTTGGGGAATGAATCATTGGACGTAAGATTTTCCTCTCTGTCTTTCCTCTCTGTATATCTGCCTTTCCAATAAAAATAAAATAAATCTTTAAAAAAACAAAAACAAGAAAACATTAGGACCCAGCATAGTAGCCTATTGGCTAAAGTCCTCACATGTTCCAGGATCCCATATGGGCACTGGTTCATATCCTGGCTGTTCCACTTCCCATCCAGTTCTCTGCTTGTGGCCTGGGAAAGCAGTAGAGGATGGCCCAAAGCCTTGGGACACTGCATTCATGTGGGAGACCTGGAGGAAATTCCAGGCTTCAGTTCAGCTCAGCTTTAGTTGTTGCAGCCACTTGTGGAGTGAACCACTGGATGGAAGATCTTTCTCTCTGTCTCTTCTTCTCTCTGTAAATCTGACTTTCCAATAAAAATTTAATCTTTAAAAAACAAAACATTGAACTCTAAAATGAGCACCATGTCCAATAAACTTACGATCCTTGACCCTCAGGTGTTTCATTTTTAAAAGGCCAGTTCCAGAAAAGTGTTTCTCTATGCTGGGGCTTTTTTTGAATTGTTTGATTGGGCCATCTGGCACAGGAAGAGGGGCATTGGTTGGGGATCTGAGTTGGTGGAGGTGATGAATGTGACTGGTGTTGGAAGTACAGCTGCAGTTCTCTGGGCGCCCATGCAGGGGCAGGCGGCTCTGATGACTCGCTCTCCAATCAAGTGTAGGTGACAGGGCACAGAGGCCACTGCCTAGTTGAATTCTGAGTTGGGATTCAAACCCCAGAGACCTTCTGCTCCTCCAGGCTTACTTGGCTGAGTGCTTGTGGCCAACTGAGGGGCTGGCGCTGGGGGTATGGCATGTTAAGCTGCTGCCTGGGACACCAGCATCACATTGGGACACCAGTTTTGAGTTCTGGTTGCTCCACTTCCAAAGAAGCAGAAGCCGACCGAAGAACTTGATCCCTGCCACCCAGACAGGAGGACCAACTGGAATTTCAAGGATCCTGGTTTTGGTCTAGGCTAGACATGGCGCTTGCAGCTATATGGGGAGTGAACCAGTAGATGGAAGACTTTTTCTCTCTTAGTGTTTCTCTCACACACACACACTTTCACTTTAGCTTCCAAATAAAATTAATTCTTAAAGAAAAAAATAAATAAAGGACCCCAAACCCAGCACAGCACCCAACCAGAGGCGGGATATCAATGAGGTGAAACCCAGAGACTTGCTTTGTGGTTAACAGTGACCTGAGCGTGGCATCATTGCATCCAGACTAAATGCGGAATGTGTAACTTCAACAGAGCACCCTCAGCATACAAAACACACTTTGGTAGAAATGTAAATCCTGTCCTCTTCTGAGGACCCAGGAAGTTGGTGCCCGCCCAGTGTCCTGCAACCACTTCTGGGCAGAGGTTGTGGATTCTTGCTGTCCGTTTTTCCCAGGGCTCAGAGCATGTCCATCCTTGCTCACAGAAGGGAGTGATCTACACAACAGAAAGGCGGTTCGTATGGAGTGCCTCGCAGGGGCTGGTAGCACACCTTTGGAGTTCGGCCTGTTGAGAACCGGCCAGAGCCTCGGGAAAGGAGTCATTTTGTGGTCAGCTGTTAAAACCCAGCTCTGTGGCTGTGGGGACAGGTCCATCCACTGGTCGTTCCAGTTTTGGGGTTGGCGCTGCAGCTCCTGCTCCATCTGTGTCCCTCTGACTGTCCTGCCGGCAGTCTGGGAGAGGTGGGGAGTGAGGATCTTCCACCTCCTGTGGCACTAGCTCCGGGAGTTCCTGCACCAACAGCGTCCTAACACCGCAGCTGTTGTTGGGATGCTGCCTGCTGCCTTCCAGGTCTTCTGTGATGACACTGAGCTTGTCAAAAACTTCACTCTCGTCAGCCAGTGGGAAGGAGAAGATCAGACGTGTGCTATGATGTGGGTGGCCTAGAAACTGGGAAAGATCCAGAAGAAACAGTTGATTATCAGTCTCCCCACTTCTTCCAAATTTACAAGGGGTTTTATACAGCACTCCCAGATGGAAAATGCAGTTTTCTTAAACAGCACCAATGGGGCTTGGTGCAATAGATTAACTGACTAATCCTACCCCTCACAAGCATTGAGATCCCATAAGGACTCTGGGTTGTGTCCTGGCTGCTCCACTTCCCATCCAGCTCCCTGCTTGTGGCCTGGGAAAGCAGTTGAGGATGGCTCAAAGCCTTGGGACCCTGCACCCATAAGGGAGACCCAGAAGGAGCCCCTGATTCCTGGCTTTTGATCGGCTCAGCTTTGGGTGTTGTGGCCAATTGTGGAGTGAACCAGTGGGTGGAAATCTTTCTGTCTCTTGATAAATCTGCCTTTCCAATAAAAATAAATAAATCTTAAAAAGAAAAAAAGCAACAGTATGATAGTATAATAATCTTCCAAAAAAGCAAACCTATATCTATCAGGGTGGACACTGAGCCTGGGCCTGAGCTTGAACCGTGGGGTTCCACGCCTGATTCTAGCTTCCTGCTAATGCACACCCTTGGAGAGCAGGTGATAGCTATAGTCACTGTGCTCTTGGCATTCCAATAGGAGACCTGGATTGATTTCTCAGCTCCTGGCTTCAGCCCTGGCCCAATCCTAGCTGATGCACGCATTTGGGGAGTGGACCAGTGGATGGGAGCCCTTTTTCTCACTCTCTCTGTTTACCAAATAAATAAAAATATGGTGGTTGGTGCCTGGGCATAGTAAGTTAAACCTCTACACAGCACCCCATTTGGGTACAGTTCAAGTCCTGGCTGCTCCACCGCCAATCCAGCTCCCAGCTAATGTGTCTGGGAAAGCAGCAGAGGATGACTCAAGTCCTTGGACCCCTGCATTCACATGAGAGAACTGGAGGAAGCTCCAGGATCCTGACCTCAGCCCTAATCATTGCACCCACTTGGAAGTGAACCAGTGAATAAAAGATCTCTCTGTTTCTCTCCATAAATCTTCCTTTTAAATAAAAAAAAAATATATATATATAAAATATGAAGTATCTATAAAAAAAAAGTTTGAAAGAAAAACTGAATTATTTGCTGTGGCTTAAGGGTTTATGTAGTCGAGGCTTGGTCCCACGTGTGATGGGACCTTTAAGAGGAGGAGCCCAGAGAGAGGTCGGGTCGTTGGAGTCACTGCCCGTGGAGGAATGTAGGTCGTTTTCCTGGTGAGTTTTCTTTTCTTTTTTTTTTTTTTTTTTATTGTTGCTTACATTGTATTATGTAGTACAGTTTTATAGGCGCTGGGGATTCCCCCCACCCCTCCCATACCCCTCCCCCCATGGTGGATTCCTCCACCTTGTTGCATAACCATAGTTCAAGTTCAGTTGAGATTCATTGCTTGCAAACACATGCCTAGCATAAAGTTCAGCGTCTTACTGTCCAGATAAGTTCAGTGGCCTCTTGGGGAGACCTTCTATGGTCTGAAGATAGGTCTAACAGAGTAAAGATCCGGTCAGTTAAAAGCCCCAACAAGGCCTCAGTATCAATATACAACATTATGGAATTAATTGACATAGTATTGGGTAAACAATATGTTAAAAATAATGCAAGTTCCCTTCTTCGAAACATCTGGGTTGAGACAGTATCAATGACAGGTTCAAAAAATAACAAACAACCAAACAATAAATTACAGGTTAAATCAAGGCAAACATGTGGTATCTAATCTTTTGGGATTCGCTCATTTCCCTTAGCATTATAGTTTCCAGTTGTGCCCATTTAGCCACAAAGAACTGCATTTTGTTTTTTTTAATAGCTGAGTAGTATTCCATGGAGTAGATGAACCAAAGCTTTCTTATCCAATCTTCTGCTGATGGGCATTTCGGTTGCTTCCATGTTTTTGCAATTACTGATTGTGCTGCAACGAACATAGGGATGCATGTTGGTTTGTCGTAAAACAGGTGTTTTGGATATATTCCTAGGAGTGCTATTGCTGGGTCATATGGTATGCAGATTTTGAGTTGTTTGAGTGTTCTCCAGACTGATTTCCATAAAGGCTGTACCAATTTGCAGCTCCACCAGCAGTGGAGTATGGTTCCCTTTTCCCCGCATCCTCGCCAGCAAGCGTCGTTGGTGTTCTTGTTTATGTGGGCCAATCTTACTGGTGTTAGGTGGTACCTCATCGATGTTTTAATTTGGATTTCCCTTATTGTTAGGGAGCTGGAACATTTTTTCATATGTTTGTTTGCCATTTGGACTTGTTCCTTTGTGAAATGTTTGCCCATTTCCCGTGCCCATTTCTTGAGTGGTTTGTTTGTTTTGGTTTTTTGGTTGTTTTGAAGTTCTTTGTATATCCTGGAAATTAGCCCCCTATCGCCTATATCGTGTGCAAAGATCTTCTCCCACTCTGTGGGTTGCTTTTTTACTTTGTTGATTGTTTCCCTTGCTGTACAGAAGCTTCTTAGTTTGATGAGGTCCCATTTGTTTATTCTGTTCTCAACTGCTATTGCTTTTGGTGTCCTTCTTAGAAAGTTGGGACCTACTCCTAGGTCTTGCAGGGTATTTCCTACATTTTCTTGCAAGAGTTTGAAGGTTTCTGGATGTAGGTTTAGGTCTTTTATCCATGTAGATTGGATCTTAGTGTATGGTGATAGATGTGGGTCTATTTTTTTGTTTCTACAGGCTATCAGCCAGTTGTCCCAACAACATTTACTAAAGAGGCCTTTCTACTTGCTTGAGCTGTCATTGGTCGTTTTGTCAAAGATTAATTGGCTGTATTTGTGTGGGTTCCCTTTTGGTGCTTCTATTCTATTCCATTGATCTTCCTTTCTGTCTTTGTGCCAGTACCAGGCTGTTTTGATAACCACTGCTCTAGAGTATGTCCAGAGGTCCGGGATTGTGATTCCCCCTGCTAACTTCTTATTTTTCAGGATGGTTCTAGCTATTCGTGGTTTTTTGTGTTTCCAGATGAACTTTTGAATCATTGTATCCAGTTCCGTGAAGAATGTTTTGGGCAATTTGATTGGAATTGCGTTGAAAATGTATATTGCTTGTGGTAGTATAGACATTTTAATGATATTGATTTTGCCTATCCAGGAGCACGGGATGTTATTCCATCTTTTGAGGTTTTGTTCAATTTCCTTTTTAAATAGTTTGTAGTTTTCTTCGAATAGGTCTCCTATGCTTTTGGTTAGATTTATTCCCAAATACTTCATACTTCTCTCTGCTATTTTGAATGCTATCCTGTTGGTTAGATCTTCTTCCATCTTGGTGTTATTTGCGTACACTATGGCTGTTGATTTTCGTTCGTTAATTTTGTACCCCGCCACTCTGCCAAACTCTCGTATAAGTTCTAGCAGTTTCTGTATTGAGTCTCCTGGTTTTTCTATGTATAGGATTATGTCATCTGCATATAGTGAAAGCTTGACTTCTTCGTTTCCTATACGTATGCCTTTGATTTCTTTTTCTTGTCTTATGGCCTCTGCAAGTACCTCTAGGACTATGTTGAATAGCAGTGGTGATAGCGGGCACCCTTGTCTTGTTCCAGATCTCAGTGGGAAGGGTTCTAGCTTTTCTCCATTCAGTATGATACTGGCGTTGGGTTTTTCATAAATTGCTTTGATTATGTTGTGGATTTTCCCATCTATGCCTACTTTGGCTAGAGTTTTTAGCACGAAGAGGTGTTGGATTTTGTCGAAAGCTTTTTCTGCATCTATTGAAACTATTATGTGGTTCTTGTTTTGCAGTTTTTGGATATGGTTTATAACATTTTCCTGGTGAGTTTTCCTGGGGCTCTGGAGAGTTCTGGAGGCAGAGAGGAGGAGCCTGGCCCCTCGCTGCCTGCTCTGGGTGCCTAAGTTGATGTTATCTCCCAGGATGTGATGCAGCCCTCACCGGCACCCACACCATGCGTGTGGTCTTGTACCCTCCCCATCTGGGGGATTAGCAAATCTCTTTTCCTTATAAGCCAACCAGCCTTAGGTGTTTTGTGATAGTAATGTAAAATAGATTCATCCACCACCCCACCCAACAATTCTGCTCCTGGGTATATAGGTAATTGGAAAGGAGGTGTTTATACCTGTCTCTGTAGCAGCATTACTAGCAATAGCTGAAAGGTGGAAGGCACTCAAATGTCCAGCGACAGAGCATTGGACACCAACATGTGGTTTCTAAACAGAAGAGGATGAGGATGGTATTCAGCCTTTGAGAAAAGGATGTTCTGGTGCACGCCACATTGTGCCTGGTCCTTGCAGCCTTTATATACTAAGCAAAAGGAGCCAGTCCCAGGAGCACATGTGCCATGACTGACAGTAAGTCTCACATGTATCTCTCTATGATAAAAAGAGCTATGCTCATAAATCTCCAACTCCTTTTCTAGGGGATCACAGCGAGGGATATTTCTTTGCATGATCAGGATGCGTCGTGTGGCCCATGGTCTGGATGTCATTCCCATTGTGAAGCAGGGCTATTGCCAGTCCTGGGAAATGCCTCTTCGAATAATGGGGATTTCCAACTGTCCCCAGGCTGTGTTTAGGAGCCTCCCATGGTAGTCCCCTGCATCCTCCATGACATGCCCTGTTCAATGCAGTAGCCAAGGGCTGGCTGCAGACTATGTGAAATGTACCAACATGTGCTAGAAGTGTGTGATTGCATAACCATCTTTTGAAAACTGTGAAAAAAAAGAATGTAAGATATCTTAATAACAATAATACTAAATAGTGGTTACACATTGAAATGGTTTGTTATGCAAAATAACAAAATGCATAATTAATGCTAAGGCTTCTATGAGACACTGGGGCCTCAGCATGCCTCACTCGCCACTCTGTGTCTTGACGTTTGTAGCTAGGGTTACTGGAAGACAGGGGCCAGGGCCCCATCATCCTGTGTCTCCAGTGCTTGGGAAGGAATCTGGGAATCTGGAATCTGATCTGCTTCCTTGTAGATCCACCAGTGGATCTCCTTCTTTGAGACTGGATGGGGAGACATCCTTTAAAACTTAGGCCTTTTTATGTCCTGCCCTCTGAATAAAACCCTTCGGGGACGATCTTTAATCAGTTTCGGTCTGTTTCCCTCTCAGGTCATTTTCATGCTCATGTGACTCAATGGAAGTGGAGAGCAGCTAACCTAGTTAGCAGGCTTTCCATCCAGGTCTGGAGCAGGGCAAGCTAGACTCTGTCCAGCTTCCTGCTAGACACTGGAGAAAACTGGAGGGTGTTGGGAAGGAGGGTGTCTCCGCAAACCTCAGCAGCTATGGATTCTGAGAACAGGCCCCCAACTATCCCTAATATTGCTGGGAGAAGGAGGGAGGACGGGAGGGCCAAGGAACAGGCATGAAATCTTACAACAGATCTTGGTTGGATATGGATAGAAACCAATGGCTGAATCACCAGATCAGTGTTGGCTAGACTTCCTAATTGGATTTCAACTCTGGAGTCTTTCTCTCCAGCCAGCCTCCCTCAATCCTAAACACTCTGCGGGCTTGTGGGTAGTGGATGTCTGCCCGTGAGGAGCCCAGCAGCAGGATCTGGTGACAAAGAAGCTGAGATGCTCTGGAGTGGCGTGTCCTGAAGCCTTCTTTACTCTCATTCCTCAGCTCTTCTACTGGCTCCCACTTCCCAAGTGTGGCAGGGGTCCCTTGGCTCAGGTAGTGATGGTTCAACCTACCAGGCTCCTAGGCTACACTTATCCCAGGTTTGATTTGAATCCTTGTCTGCCCCACTAGTCACACACACACACACACACACAGAATTATTTAGCTTTCTCTTGGTTCTCAGTTAATAATGCACATTTTGCCCAGGGCAGAAAGCCCCATCCTTCTTTGCCCAGCAGTGACCCTGGTTACTCTAAGCTGACAGGGAATTCTTTGTTCATTCTAGAAGATTCTCTGTTGGGTTTGCTATGCTGCAGTCTCACTGGCACTCTTTCTAGAAGGTTCCAGCCCCTTCTGAAACATCTCTCTTGGGGTATGTACATGCTTAGATCCTTTTGGAGGAGGTGGTATTTATTCTCCACCTTCAAGAAATACTGACAGCTAGACAGGCTCTCATTGGAGTCCCTTTCTGGGAAACACCCTTGACAGATGACAGGTGCCCTGCCCAAAGGGATGTGTTCTTCCAGGATGGTACAAAGGCTGGATGTCAGCAACATCAATGCGCTCACCAAGTAGAGTGCAGGAAGTGGTGACATGCCTGCACAGGTGTGGAATCTGCAAAGATTCTGAGACCTGACCTTCTGGGTGATGTGGGTGGGCGTTGGTCCCATGGGGTAGGGCATGCTGAGACAGCCCCACCAAGAAGGAGCTCTGATGTGCGCAGCAAGACACCCTCATGCCAGCCTATCAGAATGGTTGCACTATAAGGCCATGGTGAGCTGAGAGAAGGCATGGAACAGACAGAAATCTTTTCCCAAATCAGCCCCGCCTCGTTTGTTCCACAATGGGTGATGTCATCCTCCTAATCACAGTGCTTTCATTCCCACCATGAATAATCAACCTATTTTACAGGGTTCTTACAGGAACTTGATGCACCAGGAGCCACCACCAGGACTGTCACAAAATGACCCACTTCAGCAGGAAGGAGCCAGAAAGAACCTGGTGCCACATCCCCCTATGTATACACACAGGATGGATAGAGCAAGGACATGCACCTTAGAGCTACTTTTGTCCCTTGCCTAAGTTACTGAAGTCAGATCCAATCCCCTGAGGGACCTCCCAGCCCCTGTACTCATCCTCAAACCAGCTCCATCTTGCCTCAGCCATTTAGCTTGCAAAATGTTAGCATCAACCAGCTCAGCCCTGCCTAGCATCCTCCCACTCATGACCCTTGGCTGCCCAAGCCATGTAAGACCTGGCTAGTGTGGGGGTTGGGCTCTCTGCCATGTGTTCACCCTTGTGTGTATGCCAGGAGTAAGCCACTTCTTGGGCTTATATCCTGAATACATCATGGAGTCACATCTTGCTCCTCTTTGTCCTGCTCCTCTGTCCTTACCCATGGCAACATAGGAGACCCAGCAGCTGCTTGATGTGTCTATAGGGGAAAGAATTCTCTGTCAACCTCAAGAATTGAGTCCCAAGGTAGATAGTAGAACTCTGGGTCAGGCCACGCCAGCTGCAGCACACAGTCATGACCTCATCCTTTGTCACAGCTGATGGAGAGCAATGGGGACCTGGGAGTAGCCGTGGGACACTTAGGTGACCATGCTGCCCCAAAGTGACCATTTTGACCAGTGTGACTGAGAGGGCTCAGGGTTCAATCATGAAGTGGGTTGAGAGGCTTCACACCTGATTCAGCTGATAGCAGGAACCAGACTTATGGCACTTGGAAGGATCTGCCTGGCAATCATGTGCTCAGCGCTGGACTGCACCACCCTCCTTAAGCCTTGAAGCCAAAGGTTACTGTTCCAAAGAAGCCTAGGTAACCATCCTCATTTTGTTACTAAAATCCCTGCCCTTGAGGGTGGTACAATAGCTCAGCTGGTTAACCCTCTGATTGCAAGTGCTGGCATCCCACATGGGTGTTAGTTTATGTCTTGGCTACTCCACTCCACTTCTGATCCAGCTTCCTACTTGTGGCTTTGGGAAAACAGTAGAAGATGGTCCAAGTCCTTGGGACCCTGCACCCATATGGCAGTTCTGGCAGAAGCTCCTAGCTTCTGGCTTTGGATTGGCTCAGGTCTGGCCATTGTGGACATTGGGGAGTGAACAGCAGATGGAAGATCTTTCCTTCTCTGTCTCTCCTTCTCTCCAGAAATCTGCCTCTCCAATAAAGATAAATGAGTTTTTTTTAAAAAAAGTTTAAAAGCCAAGGGAAAACACTCTCTCTTTCTCCCCTGACATGCCTATGGCCACTGTGGCACACATACCCCGGATGTCAAATTCCCTACTCACTCCTAGACTGTCTCTTGTTAGCAAATCTTTCTGCGCTATTTAGGTTGATGGCATCATGAAGCCCGATGGGCCCTAAGTTGGGGTCAGGGTACACTTGTCAGGCTCCCTTACATTTCATCTCTGTGGTGCCATCATCTCTGCTTCTGCCCACACTATAACCAGCCAGGGGTCATGGGGACCAGTCTTGGGATGTTGTTTGCAGTGAGCCAAAAGTGGCCTTCTGCTGCCCTCTGACACACCATGCAGACAGTGCTTTGGGCCATGCCTCGGAAATCCCCTGCTATGAACATCAGAGTGGCCCCCAGGCAGGTTAGCCTATGAATCATAGGTGTCAGTTAGTGGCTAACCTGATGGCCAGGGGCCTAGTGGGAACAGGTTCCCCAACTAAGACATCTGGGAAAGAGGCCTGTGGTGGGGTCATGCACAGTAACTTCCACAGGTAGCATGTGCCACAGAGCACGTGGCACAAGGGGCTCATGTACACAGCAGCCATGGTGCCAGGTATGGGGACTCCATGTGGGCTCAAGGATAGGTAGGGGATCCCCCTCACCAAGGCCAATGTAGCTGATACTGCAGTTGTGGCTGCCACACATTCAAGCTGTCTGCAACAGGAGCAATGCTGAGCCCCTGGGTGCAATTGTTCCCAAGAAGGTGAAAGCCACAGCCTCTTGGCTTCCTGGAAGGGCCAGCAGTATATCTGGACTGTAGTCACTGCTCATTTCAGGAATGATATGGGCCTGTGTAGGCCCCCCCCCCAGGGACTCCCAGAGAGATTGTGCCACTGGTACACAGTACAACTTTGAATGATGACTCCTCAAAACTTCCAACCCGTGATAGCTAAGGCTGTGATTTGATTTGGGGACAGGGTCATTACAAATGTCTTTTGTTAAAGCTACAATGGCATCTTGGTGTAGTAGGTAAGCCTCTGACTGTCGTCAGCCCATATGGACATTGGTTTGAATCCCAGCTGCTCCACTTCCCATCCAGCTCCCTGCTTATGGCCTGAGAAAGCAGTTGAGGATAGCCTAAGTCCTTGGGACCTTGCACCCACATGGGAGACCTGGATTAAGTTTCTGGCTCCTGGCTTTCGACTGGCCCAGCTCCAGTCATTGCAGCTGTCTGGAGAGTAAATCAGTGGATGGAAGATCTCTTTCTCTATGTAATTCTGTCTTTCAAGTAAAAAAGACATTAAATCTTAAAAACAAGAAATAAGAACAAAAAACTAGAATGAAGTCACAGTGGAGGAGCAGAAGAGAGTGGTGCCTGGGATCCTTATAAAGCCGGGGGGGGGAATGTGACACAGACACACATGGAAGGCCACGTGAAGAAGGGGGCAGAATGGGAATGGTGTCACTGCTAGCAAATCCACCTGTGATCCTCAGCGATCAGCACAAGGTGGGGACCAGACCAGGAGCAAAGCCATCCCCGCACCTTCAGGGGGAACAAGGCCTTGCGCACATCTACCTCCTTCAGGTGCTGTGGCAGGGCATTCCGAGGGGAGAAGATGTGTTTGGTCTTCTTGTAGATACACCACAGTGCAGCAAAGCAGGCCAGCAGGGCAAGGAAGACCACGAAGACCGAGGCGATGAGGATGACAGCTACCATCCATGAGGGCCTAGTGTCTGGCGGGAACAACAGGTTATGTCAGTCACATCCTTGCCACATCTGGGGCCCAGGGCACTGTGATCTCAAGACCATCCCATGGTGAATGCTGCACACTGTCCATATGCTCATCTTAGGGGCTTCTCGGGCCAGAGTGACTGGGAGAGAACTCAGAGGTTGTCACTGAGTATCATCCCTTTCCTGGCATTGCTGAAAAGGGACAGAAAAAGGAGTAAGAAGCAAAGAGGTTGGGACGCAGCAGGTGGAACTGCTGTCCTCACTGCTGACATTCTATAGGAGCACTGGTTCGAGTCTTGGCTGCTCCACTTCTGATCCAGCTCCCTGCTAATATGCCTGGGAAAGCAGCAGAGGATGGCCCAAGTGCTTGGGCCCTTGTACCCACATGGAGACCTGGATAGAATTCCCAGCTCAGCCATCTGAGGAATAAACCAATGGATGGAAGCTCTCTCTCTCTTCCCCTCTCTAGTTCTACTGTTCAGATAAAGAAATAAGTCTTAAGAAAATAACAATAGCAAGCAAGAGTTGACACACTTTGCTTACTTTAAGGGTAGTGATGAGCTTCCTTATTTTGGAAAAAGCTCTTGCACCTTGAAGCAGCAAGTGGGACCCCCTTTGCTGACACCTCGTGACGCCCAAGCACGCAGCAGAGCATTTGCTAGTGAGGACCACCACAGCTTCCAGCAGGAATGACCCTGCCGAACTCCATGACGAGGGCAGCCTTGGGTTTAACAAGGTTCCAGCCTGGCTTTTGGCTGGAGCTGTCCCAGGGATGACCCAGCCGGGAGAAATTCCATGTTGCCCCAGGGAGGTTCTCTTTCTGAGAATGTCTGTTACTGAGAGCTTCACTCCTGAATCATCCCTCCGCTTTTCCAGACATGCAGCTGACCCTTCCACAAAGTCGTGGGAAATCAGAATGGTCTCTTGATTGTACTGGCCATGAACTCACTGGAGCCCCAGTCTCCCATGAGACTGCCCACCACACAGCCATGTCTCCTTCCCCAGGACCACATGGCCATTCCTTTAGAACCATCGGGAAGTGCAGCTTCTTTGGGGATGGGGTAGAGGCCTGGCTTTGGCAAACCTGTAAAGGCAATGGCACTGACCGGCCCTCCTGCCTGACTTCTATAATTTCTTCTCTGCCTTTAACATACTCAGCTGCTTCTGGGTAAATCTAATTCCAATCTTTCCCATACCACATCTGTGACTGAACAAAATCCATTCTTACTGCTTTAACTAATATTCCATTTTTTAATCTCTGCTGGCATCTGGGATGTCGCCTGGGTCACCTGTGCTCCCAGCTCCCTTCAATCTAGCACCAGGCCCCTGCCCCGGCAACCTTGGACACCTGACCTCGCTCCTCCCAAGCTGAGCCAACAAGCACCACCCTCATGAGCACAGTCTGTGCACTGTGTGTTGGGAGGAGAGGGACCAATTCATTTTTGCCTTAAATATTCATTTATTTAGATAAAAGGCAGAGGTACAGAGAGAGAGAGAGAGGCAGAGACCAGAACATAGAAAGAGATATTCCATTGGCTGGTATACTCCCCCAATTGGCTGCAATGGCTGGGATTGGGCCAGGCCAAAACCAGGAGCTCCCTCTGGGTCTCCCACATGGTGGCAGGGGTCCAAGCACTTGGCCCATCTTCTACTGCTTTCCTGAGTACATTAGCAGGGAGCTGGATCAGAAGAGAAGCAACCAGGACTCATATAAGCATCCCTATGGGATGTTGGCATTACAGCTGGCAGCTACACCCACTGTGCCATAACACTGGCCCTGAGAGCAGGCCCTCTGAAGGATTCTTTGTGGCGAAATGCCAGTTGCACTTGCCCAAGGCATATCGAGAACCCTGAAGCCTGGGTCCTGGAGCCACACCCACTGCCGTCACTTGCTGGCATCCTTCAGCACCTGTCTCGGTGTGTGATCCATAGTGGATGCTCCTTAGACATCCCTGGGCAGATGCAGCAGCTGTACAGAGGGAAGCTGGCAGGACTGGCTGTATCTTCTGTCTGCTTCCTTCTCTCCCTTATCTGCATGTGTTTCCTTTCTCTGAGATAATCGACCTCAACTTTTTCTACAACATATCCTTCAGTGAGTTGAGAACGACACTCACTCCAGGTTCCCACCAATGTCTCCCTGTCCTAGGGATGGTTCTTTCTCCCTCATGCACTGAACAAGTCCTTTCTTGGTGCATGCGCTAAGTGAGCTGGCTGGTGTGGCCCCCCCAGGCTATGCCCTCGTCGAAAATATGGGATCCACCTAGTCCCTGACACCCCAGCTTCTGAGGAAGTTAGGAGTTACTACTCATTCATCCACCTGCCTTTTCTATTTCAGTGGTTCTGTGATTTGGCATGTGTCAGAATCACCCACAAAGCTCTCTGGGACCTCAGCATCACAGATAAGATGGTGACTAGATTAGGGTGATCAAGACTCAGGAATGTCTTTCAAGGCTGAATGGGAAGAATTTAGATGAATCTGGTGAGTAATAGCTCTCCAACTTGTATGAGCACACCTGACCCTACTGCCAGTCAACCACAGGGACACGGTGCCTCAGTTTACCTCTGACATCAATCTGTATGTAGTCAGTTATAAAAATGTCACCTGGGCACTGACTGCTCTGTGTTGCTTTGTTCCCGTCCTTTGCAAGCTGAGTGCCCTAAGGAAGTTACTTGACCTCTCTGAACCTTCTCTTCCTGTGGATGCAAAGGGAGAAGGGCCTTAGAATGTTCTCATAGAAAACTTGTGAGATTTCAACGAGACTAATGTGCTTTTGAGAAGTGCTAGAATTGGCATTGGACAAAAGCAGGTTTTTAATGGACTGCTTTTCCCTTTTGCGAAAGCCTTGTACTCAGTTAACGGCTGGTCATTGACATTTATAAGCTAGCTGACATACTTTCTTTGGTGATGTAATCACAGGTCTCATGCAGTTTTAGGTCACAGGCAAGCTGCTACATATTCCCCCTTCCATGGTCTAAGCTTGCTGAGCCAGCTGCTGTCATGTGATAAAAAAAAAATAAAGTCCGCTTGCTGTCCACCACACCAAGGCCACTACTGTACTCACTGACCATGAAACTGCAATGTTCCTGTGTTCACTACCCACCCTCTCTCCTCTCCCTGTCTTCCCTCTATCTCTTTCAAGAAGCACCTGCTTATGGGGCCAGCTCTCTGGCATAGTGGGTTAAGACACCACCTGTAATGCCTGCATTCCATATGGGTGCTGGTTCAAGTCCTGGCTGCTCTGTTTCTGATTCAGCTCCCTGCTAATAGCCTGAGAAAGCAGTGAAGGATGGTCTCTGCACCCATGTGGAGACCCACACAAAGCTCCTGGTTCCTGGCCTCTGACCTAGCCATTGCAGCAATGTGGGGAGTAAAGCAGCAGATGAAGATCTTAGTCTCTCTCTCTCTCCATAATTATTTCAAGTAAATAAATAAATCCTAAAACAAAATGAGCAGGGGCTGGTACCATGGCATAGGAGGTTAAGCCTCTGCCTATAGTGCTGGTATCCCATACAAGCATTGGCTCACATCCTGGATTCTTCACTTCTAATCCACCTCCCTGCTTATCGCCTGGGAAAGCAACAGAGGCCGGCTTAAGAGCTTGGGTCCCTGCACCCATGTGGGAGACCCAGATGAAGCTCCTGGTTCCTGGTTTCAACCTGGCCCAGCCCAGCCACTGCAGTCATGTGGGGAGTGAACCAGTTGATAGAAGACATCTCTCTGACTCTCCCTCTTTATCTGTAACTCTTTCAATTAATTATAGAAACAAATATTAAAAACAAAACCAAAACAAAAAACACCAACATGAGAGTCCTGGATACTGTGGGTTCCCTGCACGGGGGGAGGGGCTGGAGGCTAGGGGTGCCTCTGAAACAAGAGGCAATGACTGAGGGAAAGGGTGAGGCTTCCAGATTCTTCTTTCCCATCCTGTGCCTGCAGGGCTGGTGCTGTGCAGCCTGGGAAGGACAGAGGTGTAGACAGGGGGCGGGGTACACCCCAAGCCCTGATAAGGACAAGTTCTGCAAAGGTGGGAGAGCTCAGCTCACCTGAGCTCCCCTCTACCCCTTAGGTATGAGACTGAAAGAGCTGACTCAGAAGGGAACGGCCCTTCCCAGCAGAACGCTGAGCAACCAGGCCTGGAAGGCTGGGAGTAGGAGTGCAGAGCTTGCTTTTTTAAAGATCTTGAAAAACAGAGAGAGAAAGAGAGAGAGAGAGAATTTTCTAAAACTTCTCTTTAGAAATTGATTTCCCAGCTGGGTGCAACAGCCAGGGCTGGGTCAGGCCCTGCACGATGGATAGCTAGTGGCTAAAGTCCTTGCCTCCCGCACACTGGGATCCCATATAGATGCCCATTCTAGTCCTGGCAGCCCTGCTTCCCATCTAGCTCTCAGCTTGTGGCCTGGGAAAGTAGTTGAAGATGACCCAAAGGCTTGGGACCTGTACCCATTTGGGAGACCTGGAAGGGGTTCCAGGCTCCTGGCTTTGGATTGGCTCAACTCCAGCTGTTGAGGCCGCTTGGGGAGTGAATCAGTGGACAGAAAATCTTCCTCTCTGTCTTTCCTTTTCTCCATATATCTGAATGCCCAATCAAAATAAATTATGAAAAAAAAAAAAAGAAAGGAGGGGTCAGAAATTTAGGTCATCATCCACTGCTTTCCCAGGCACGTTGGCCGGCAGCTGAATCAAACAGAATAGCAGGCACTCCAACATAGGAGTTGGTGGTGGTGGTTTTAGCTGTGGTGCCACAGCATCATCCTCAGGTGCAGGTTTCTGAACTGGGTGGAGGGGGAGCTGAATGTTCCAGCATGTACAAAGCCGTCCGGCCCTAATGCCTGCAGGCTGGGCACCCACAAAGTCAAGGGCAGTGCTCAGGGAAGGCAGTGTGACAGGCTGGGCACTGCCAGACTCACCGTCCTTGCTTGTCTGCTTGCACACTGGCTCACTCCATTCTCCCGTCCTGTTGCGATCAGAGACGGACCCTCGCACTTGAACACAGTACGTGGTCCAGGGCTCCAGGCTCTTGAGGACCCAGAAGTCATACTGCCGGGTGACCGGGACCTTTTCCTGGGGACGGAAGTAGGAGCATGCTCAGTGAAAGGAGCGTCTTCTCCCTCTGTCAGCCACTCCCACCAGTCCTGACCTCTGCTTGTGACTTGGAATAGGAGGCAGCTCCCCCTCAGCTCTTAGCGTGGCGCTGGGCCCCTGTCTAAGGGCTGTGATGCCGACAGAAAGCGTCTTGTTTCCTAAATCCTCCATCTTAAATGACACACACACCACCTGGCTTCCTTTCTGAAAAGTGGGAATCCATCTCAGTGGCTTGAGCAGTGTCTGATGAGCACCCCTGGGATGAAGGTGTTGTGACCCTGCAGTTTTTGCGAATGTAAGCTTATTTGGAACTGGGGTCTTCACGAGGCCTGTTGGGGCGGGTCCCTGATCCAGTATGACTGGTGTCCTTACATGCAGTCACACACAGAGGGGCAGGCCATTGGGAGACCAAAGTGGGGGCCAAGGTGATGCTGCTATAAGTCAAGAGGGCACAGACTCGGCAATGAGCAGGTGCTGCAGGGAAGGCCTGGAACCGACCCCTCCTTGAACCTTGGTGCTGAACTGTTAACTCCAGGACTGTCTGCCGCCTGAGCCTCTTCAGCAGCAGTAGCCTGCTACTGCCCCCAAGCTGGTGACATAGTTGGCATGTGCAAGAAGATGACTGGGGCTGACGTCACCTTCCTCATGGCTTAATCTGCACCCAAGATATCACTTAGTGACGCAATTCTGAATCTGAGAAACCGACCTGGTTTCTGGCAACAGAAAGGGAATTAAAACGGAGCAAAAGGGCACGGTGAGGGCTGTCTGCATTCCTTCCCTGGAGAAGCTTACACTGCAGGCAAAGACTGGATGGCATTCACTCTACACCACTCTGCACTCTACTCTCCTCCTAAATAAATTAGAAACGAAACTACACACCCTTAACTCTCACTTCCAGAAGCCCAACGCCTCTAATGGCTTACAATGCAATTCCGTTTCTTTTTCACAGACAACGCTCAGAGGCAAGCCAGTAAGGAGGCATACATCTACAAGGTGACTTCCGAGAGTTCCCTGGGGGGGAATGCTTGCATTCCAGAGGCAGTCATGTGACTTGCGAATGGTGACACTGCTGGCCTGTCCCATGTCAGCCCTGAGGTGTGAAGCCTGAGCATCAGAGAGCAGCCGGTTGGGGGGAGGGAGGCTGAGTCATGGGCGAGCTCCAGATAGGAGGCTACATTCACAACCGGGTCGCATCCCCCCTTACACAGGAGGGTGTGCGAGGCACTGTGTCCAGTGGCAGGAAGGAATCCTTCACCAAGGGATCTGGTCTTGGTGTGGTTGCCAGGACTTAGCAGAGACACCTGCTTCAGATGAGCCTGGGTACTTGATTAGCAAACACTTCCTAGGGTGTTATCAGCAAAACTGAGTGTTCCGCGAAGAAGGTAGATTTCCTGTCACTGTGGTCTGAGTCTATGCCTCCTGCTACCACTGTTGAAACTTAGCACTCAAGAGACAGTGTGAAGAGATGGGGCCTTAGGCAGTCTGCAGAGGGAGAGCTGCAGCACTGGGGACTAGCTCTCTGATAAAAGGGGCTTGAGAGCTGTTCCTTCTATTTGCCTTTGGCCTTGTGCCACATAAGAGACAACATGGCCCTGCCTGGGAAGCAGGCATTGAGGAACCTGGCTGGCACTTGACCTTGGCCTTCCCAGCCTTCTCAACCATGAGAAGTGAACTTCTGCTGTCAATTTCCTTGAATATGGTCTTTTTTTTTTTAAGATTGGAATTTTTCTTGGAGTTACCATGCATGTATCTATAAATAAAATTGTATTCATTCCTAAAATAAACATAGGTGATCCCTTTCTCCCAGACTCTTGAAAATGAAAAAATAAATTGACATTGATCGGGCAGATAACATATCTGCAACTTAGCTCATCTAACATTTTCTGGAAGTCAGTTCCAGACCATGAATGGCATTCAGTTCAAAGCACTTAGACGGAGACTAGAACAGGACTAGGAAGACTGCAAACAGCACCAGTCCAAGGGTGGGGCTTCCCTGGCTGTGCCCCTGAGTAGCCTGCTATAGTCATGGGTCTACTGGGTTGATGCCACCAGACAGTTGTAGTTAGCTAAGTCAGCAGACTCAAGCTCCCCTGCTAACTACTGACTCAGCTTCACCCTCTGCCACTTCCTGACACTCTCAAGGAGCCGACTTGACTGTGATCGTCTCCCTCCATGCTCTTCGGCAGAGGTCATCCCTCAGCCTGGAAAGCTGCTGCTTTCAGAGGACTAGCCCTTGGAGCTTCTTGAATATTGCAAGGCACTGCCTAGACGGCCTTCTGGTTTCCTCTCTCCTTCACCAAGGTTTCAGACAAACAGGGCAGAGTCTTCATCTGGAATGCCTACAACCACCCACGCTTACCTTCTTATCGGTACCATTTTTCCAATATTGCACTTCATAGGCCCATAAGTTATAAATATTCTTCATGGTCCATGTTTCAGGTTCATTCTCAATTTTGGGGGCCAAGAAACGCAAATGTAAAGAATCGGTAATTACTTCCACTTGGATGCCAGGAGGTCCAATGATGGCTAGGCATAAGAAACAACAAAATCATCATCAAAAATCACACTTCAAAAACTTGATCAGAATTAATTCTTCACAACTGTGCAGAGCCAGGAGTCTATCAGGTGCATTGCACTCTGTTACATGGTGGCTATGACAGATTGGTGTGCCAAGGAGCACAGCTGGCTTTTATTGGAAAAAAGTGCTAACTTTTTTTATTATTGTTAATGAAGCTTAGCTCATTTATATTTATGGTAATTCTTTGATACATATGGAATCATTCCAACTCCATTACTTTATTTGTTTTAACAGATAACTTTCAACATTTTTTAAATATGCTTATGTTTGGCCTCTTATCCTCTTTTCTTTTTCTGGTTTTTCTGGCTTGAATTTTCTTCCCATTGCTGGGTTGGAAGCTACAGTTTAACAGCTATGCTTACATGTTTTTTTCCACATTTAAAAATATTTAATTTGTTTTGTGATACAGTTCCATAGGCTGCTCTTAAATGTTTAACATACATAATTAAGTGGATTTTTGCCAACATGCCTTTCACTTGGCAATCATGTGGCTGACCCCTTCATTTTATGTGGGTCTCTGTTGAAATGCCACCTCCTCAAAGAGATCAAATTTTATTCCCCCATAGCAAAAAGCAGTTCCTGTCTCTGCCCTGCTAACTTGCTTTAGTTTTCCTGAGAGCCACGATCTCCACTTGCCACACAACATGTGTACGTGTATCACAGATCTTCCCATCAGAACACATGCTCTTGTTTATAGGTGTTGCTTTAACACTGAGAAAGCACCTGGCACACAGGAAGTGCTCGGCACTGTCTGAGGTGTGGAATCCTGCATTTCTCTCTGGCTCTGTGACTTTTTGAGGGTCTGCCCCCACACATTCCATTCCGTTGGCCTGAAAACCAGACATGAGAACTCTGTTAGATATGTTCCCAAAGTACAAATGGGTACTATATGACATCTTGAAGCACCTTTGTCACTGAATCACAGAACTTTCTATGTGACTATTCAACATAGGTTGACGGTTGTTAGGAGTGAGGATACAGGATCCTGTGTGTGCTTTGTCCTGTCCCTCGTTATCTGCACAACCTCACAACAAGCTGTGTACCTTCAAAGGGGGCTTCCATAGAATGGGACTAAAATGGGATTTGGGATCAATCAGGACCTGGGAAGCAGTTACAGGAGCAGAAACCGGGATAGTCATCCCTCATACCTGGGAGTGATTCTAAGATGTTCACTCCTGCAGAAAAACACAGTAGGATGTACGTATCTCCCATGTACATTCTGCATACAAATTGCCTATAACATCTCACACAGTAAGTGCTGCATAAATAGCTGTTGCACGGTAAAAACAATCTATACACATTCAGATACAATTTTGTTTTCCAGGCCTTTCCAATCCACAGCCAGCGGGGACCAGGGGTGTGAAACCTGCGCTGTTTGACGACCACTGTTAAGCTCTATTTCTTTATGTGCTCATTTTTTCTTTACTTTTATAACAGTACTTTTATAAGTTTTAAAATTATCTTTAGAAAAGAAAACTTTGATAATTTCTGTCTCCACAGCAAAATTTCTGTCCAGGCTTGGGAAAGAATTGAGAAAGGAAAGAAGGCGTCCCTAGCCTTACCCTAGTTACAAAGGAGGATGGAATTGTTGAGGACAAAGGGGTCAGAGCAGGGGATGGGAACAGAGACCCTTCCCCCACCTAGAGGCAACTCTTTGGAGGGGTTTCTCTCTACCCACTCCGGGGGGCTGTACCTGAGTCCTGTTAATCAGGTTCTCAGAATCTCTGGTTCTCCTTACTTCCCAAGTTGCTGGATGGTAGTTCAAAGAGTTTTCAAATAAACAGGCTCACCTACTGACCTCTGACCTTTCCAATCTGACCTGGGGACATTCTTTGTTTACCAACCAGTGTGATCCAACCATCAGCTGCATCCCACCTTCAACATGACTTGATTCATATCTGCCATGAGATCTTTCTGTTTCCACACCTGCCTATATTCTACTGCCTCTTATTTCCTATTCCACTAAGTCACAAGTTCAAATTAATTTCCTTTCAGAAAATCCACAAGCTCAATCTTGTTCTCAAGAACAGCACTGGCTCCAACTCATTTACTCCCTGATGACCCTGAAAAGTTAGCCATTTATTTATTATGTTCCTTTGATGGGTTTCTTCAAGGCTACAGACCTCTGGACAACATATTCCCAAGCTCATTGCACAAGGCTATTGTTCGTTTTGTAAGCACTCAAAGTATTCTAGCTGGTGGACTAACCAACCAAGGGTAAGAGGAGGACATTACAACACAAAGAACCAAATGGCTTACTGTCTTCCACAGGGCAGAAGTCGCGGTACACCCAATCTGATTGCTCATTTTCAAATTCAGCTCTGACTCTCAAAGTGTGGTCGCCGTACTTGGAGAGACTTGAGAAATTGCATTCCGTCAATGCCGTCTTCTGGCACATGCCTTGGAACTTCATGTAACTTCATGACCAGGAAGACAAAAGCACAAGAATTCTAACTACAGTGTCTCTGAGGCCTCCTGTTACCAAAGATTCACAGAGGATACGAGTGGAAACTGAACTGTATTCTTGGCGGCCAGTTCTGATCAGCATGATGAATACTTTTTGTATAGTATTTTCCACACCGTGCTCCGTGGGACCTTAGTGATGCCTGAGATTACATGAGACATGCTATAGCCCAGTTTGCGCGTGCCCCCAGAGGTTCCCTTGCTGGAAGCCTTGTCCCCCAGTGTGCTGTTTTTAAGATTTAGTTGTTTTTATTGGAAAAGTCGTTTACAGAGAGAAGAAGGAAAGATCTTCGATCCGTTGGTTTACTTCCCAAATTGTGTACTAACCAGAGCTGAGTCAACCCGAAGCCAGGAGCTTTTTTGATCTCCAGGTTCGTACAGGGTATCAAGGCTTCGGGCCATCCTCTGCTGCTTCTCCAAGCCACAGACAGGGAGCTGGATAAGTAGTGGAGCAGCTGGGACATGAACTGACACCCACACAGGATGCCGGTACTTGTAGGCAGAGGAATAGCCAATTGAGATATCACACTGGCCTTCTGGTGGAACCTTTTAAAAGAGGTGAGGCCTGGTCATGGAAGTATCACTTGGGAAGGGAATGAGTTAGCTCTCAAGAACGTAAGCTGTAATGGGTGAGGCCATGCCAAGTGCTTGGTCCCTTCCATCAGTTTCCTTTCCGCTGCTTCGCTGTGTTGGAATGCAGCCCAGGAGCTGGTCTGAGGATAATGGTGCCATGCTGCTGGGACCCTCCAACCACCAGAATCTTGGGCCAAATAATTGCTTGCTATAGTACTCAGCCTGGGATGTTACATCACAACCACAGCCAGACTGTGACGGGCATTCTTCAGAAGGCAGATAGGCACAACGGGGATGACCCTGTTTCACAATTGACTCTTTTTGGTAAATCTACCACATACATTCTACCCACACATCACTCTCCAAGGCTGCCCAGCACCCCATCATTCGGAACACCGAAGGGCCATTTCATTCAGGGAGCTTTCTCACACGGGGGAGCTTCTTTCCTTAAATGATTGTGTTAATGCATCCAAAGTTGTACAATCCCTTCTGTTTAGCTACCTTGTTTAGTTTTTATTTCACTTACAAATATTTTCCTCCCCATGGAATAGGAAACATGGCCTATTCACTATATTTATAGCTAATTGAAGGAGGGAGCATGTATATGCTAAAATGACCAACAGCCCCTCCGAAGCAAGGGCTGCCTTGTTCTGTCCCCCCGCCCCATCCTACTGTAACTGTTGCACACATACAACACAGAAATCTACAGAACCATGCAGTGTCGTCAGATCATTCGAGGTCAAATCTCTCAGGGACAGCCTTTGCGCTTGTCTGATTTTCCACACCACCTACCTTAGTGGGTCTGTCTTTTTGCAGTAGAAACCTCAGACCCACATGAGGCCTCTTAGTGAACAACTACCTCCTGCCTCTATACCTTTAGGAAATTACTGACACCTTGTATCAAAAGAAGAATGGCTGGGGCTGGTGCTGAGGCATTGTAGGTGAAGTTGCCGCCTGCAGTGCTAGCATTTCATATGGATGCTGCGTCAAGTCTAGGCTGTTCCATATTTTTCTTTTTTTTAAAGATTGATTTATGTTTTTATTTGAAATGCAGATTTACAGAGAGAAGGAAAAATACAGAGAAGGTCATCTAACTTCTGGTTCACTCCCCAAATGGTCACTACAGCCAGAGCTGAGCCGATCTGAAGCCAGGAGCCAGGAGCTTCTTCTGGGTCTCCCATAAGACTGCAGGGGTCTAAGGACTTGAGCCATCCTCTGTTGCTTTCCGGGCCGTAACCAAGGAGCTGGATTGTAAGTGGTGCTGCTCCACTTCAATTCCAGCTCCCTGCTAACACTCCCGGGAAAGCAGCAGAGGATGGCAGTTGTGATGTCACTGTAGCCATTTAGAGAGTGAACCAGCACATAGGATGTTTTCTCTCTCTCTCTCTGTAACCCTGGCTCTCAAGGAAATAAATATATTAAAGACAAAAAGGAATCGCTGAACCCAAGCACCTGTGTGATTGTAGGAAAGAAGGAAGGTCCAGAACAACCCAGAAGAAGCTACAGGGAGAGAGAGCTCGGGAAGCAAGGTAATGTTCCACAACGAAGTCTCTATGGCTTTCCGGAGTGCAGAAAACAGAGCTGAAAGGACAAAGGCAGTGTTGCAAAATGCATTTCAAGTGGGGAAAGAAGTATGGGAGGATCTTTCTTCTATTCTTGCAACAGACAAAACCAGGCTCCAGACTGCAGAAGCCATGGGAGGGCTCCGTCAGCGTTCCTACACTTGATAACTGCTGTGTAAGCACAATAGCCTTGTTCTTGCGAAACACTTACTGCTGCAGTAAGGGGCAAAGGGCATGACGAGAGAGAGGAAATACAAAAAGCCGGTGAATCTGCGTGTAGGTCACATGTTCTTTCACATAACACTTCAAATTTTGAACTGTTGTGACCATTTGCAATTCAGAAACTGACAAGTTAAAAAGCAATACCGGGCCCGGAGTGATAGCCTAGTGGCTAAATCCTTGCCTTACATGCGCCGGGATTCTGTATGAGTACCGTTCGGTATCCTGGCTGCTCCACTTCCCATCCAGCTCCCAGCTTGTGGCCTGGGAAAGCAACAAAGAATAGCCCAAAGCCTTGGGACCCTGCACCTTCATGAGACCCAGAAGAAGCTCCTGGCTGCCAGCTTCGGATAGGCTCAGCTTTGGCCGTGGTGGCCACTTGGGAAGTGAACCAGTGGATGGAAGACCTTTCTCTAGCTCCTCTCGATCTCTCTGTATATATGCCTTTTCAATTAAAAAAAAAAAGAAACAAACAAACAAACAAACAAAAAGAAAAAGCAATCCCAACACACTTGATGCATGATATGTCGGCTTTTCATTTCTCCCACTGGGCCAGCTGAGACCTTGTGGGATCCATGGCATTTGTGCTCCAGCTGCCTCCTGCCCTGCAGAAGGGCTGGTTGGTCTTCATTGTTGTGGCTGGGGGTGGGGAGGGCAGGCTGCGGCGGGAGGGTGGCGGCAGGGACTGCCTGCCTGGAACGTGGGGAAGCCCTGGTGAGATGACTGTTCCAAGGACAGTCACCCTTCCTTGGGAAGCGCTGCTGGAGAAGCTGCCTCCCTTTCACTTTTGGATGTGGCCACTGGGAGACTGAGCATCCCCGCCCCCACCGCAGCCATGTGCTGTTCTGATCCACCAGAGGGGTGGGGGACATGGTAGTAGGGGCTTCCTGATGGCTTAGTATACCTTAGTACACAGGCTCCCCAGGCACACAATGCGTACACTGTCAGCTTCTAGCACTGCCACTCTAAGAGAGATGACAGCAACATCATCTTTCTCTTAACACACACACACACACACACACACACACACACACACACAACTAGAGGACTTCAGAAATCGCAAGGAGGAAAAGGAACTGAAAGGTAAGTTTGGGACAGCACTTGAAAGCCTCTTGGGTCATGTGCATCCTTTGTGGAGAGCCCGGGGAATCCCACCCTGCTCCCAATTCCAGCTTTGTGCTAACACACACCCCGGGAGGCAGCAGACCGTGATGCCAGTGGTTGGGTCGCTGCTACCCAGACGCGTAAAAACCTAGACTGACCCCCAGGCTGCTTGGTTTTGGCCTGGCCCCTTTCCAAGTTGGTGGCTTTGGCCAGGCCCAGCCCTGGCTGTAGTGGACATGTGGAGACTGACCTATCAGATGGAAAATTTCTTTTTTGTCTTTCAAATAAATTAAATAATTGTTTAAAAAACAAAAAACTTAGGATCAGTATGATGGCTCAACTGGCTAATCCTCATCTTGCAAGCGTCGGGATCCCACACAGGTGCCAGTTCATGTCCTGGCTGCTCTGTTTTTTGTCCAGCTCTCTGTTTGTGGCACAGAATAGGCCAGAGTCTTGGGACCCTGCAACCACATAGAAGACCTGAAGAAGCTCCTGGGTTCCAATCAACTCAGCTCTGTCAATTTTGGCCATTTAAGGAGTGAGCCAGTGATGGAAGATTTTTCTCTTTTGTCTCTCCATCTCTGTGTAAATCTGCCTGATAATAAATAAACAAACAAATAAATAAATAGCTAAAAACTCAGTTTTAAAAAGATAATTCTGTTAAAGTTTAAAATTGTTTTGAAACCCAGGGGTTTTTTTTTTTTTCATTGCACATTTTTTAATGAACTTTTCAAAGAAACAGATTCTGATTTTTTGGCACCAAAATAAATTTGTCTTTCAGTTCGATTTTCCACACACTTTTCAAAGTTTTCCAGGACATCAATTATGACAAAAGATCTCTGGCTGCCTCTGTGGCTGACCACACACACACACACACACACACACACACAGTAACATGTTTATCCACCATCAGCCCTGGGAAAGTCAGACCATCAGCCATTCCAGCAAGCCAATGTCAGCAGAAGCTGACCCCAAGAATTCCCTGGACAGAAAGAAAAAGACCAGGAGGAAGGCTCCCCAGGGGGTCATGGCCATGGTCACACAGACAACAACAGTCAGCTTCCTTCCACCACCCCCTACCTCTGGCACCCCACCGGTGGGATGTACCCCAGGGCTCCCATCCTCTGGCTTCCTCCCACCAACATGGGTCCAGACCCACCTCTGGTACTCAGCTGTGAAGGTCAGATTTCCTTTGGGAAAAGCAGGTGAATCCCATTGTAGAATGTTCTTGAAATTAACTGAATTGATTCTGACATTTTCAGGAGGTGGCACCATGCTAAGTGCTGTAAACACAGAGCGACATAACAGACAACGTTTTCCTCTGAAAGGCTGCCCATAAAAATGACCATATCTAACACTCGGGTCTCTGAAATGGCTCTGGGTCTTCCAGCACCATGTGGGAAAGGAGAGAGAAATTAGCTGTGCCCACCTTATTTGAAGAACCAAGTCAAAAAACTCCTGGGAGGGCAGATGTGAAGCACGGAAGGATGACAGGGACCTGGATTTGGGTGCTAAGAGGCAAGGGGGTAGATGGGCTAGGATTATTATTATTCTATTTCATTTACTTTTATTGGAAAGTCTGATATAGAGAGAGGAGGAAAGACAGAAAGGAATATTTTCTGTCCACTGATTCATTCCCCAGGCAGCCATCATGGCCGGAACTGTGCCAATCTGAAGTCAGGAACCGAGAGCCTCTTCTGGGTCTCCCACATGGGTGCAGGGTCCCAAGGCTTTGGGCCGTCCTCGACTGCTTTCCCAGGCCACAAACAGGGAGGTGGATGGGCAGTGAGGTCACTGGGATTAGAACCGGTGCCCATATGGCGTGTGAAAGGTGAGGAGGACTTTAGCCACTATGCTGGGCTCAATTTTTGTTTTTTTAAAGATTTATTTATTAAATTGAAAGTTACAGAGAGAGGAGAGACAGAGAAAGACCTTCCACCAGCTGTTTCACTCCCCAGATGGCTACAATGACCAGGACATGGCCACCCTGAAGCAAGGAGCCAGGAGCTTCTTCCAGGTCTCCCACATGGGTGCAGGGGACCTAAGCATCTGGACCATCCTCCACTGCTTTCCCAGGAACATTGGCAGGGAGCTAGAAAGGAAGTGGAGTAGCCTGTGCTCGAACCAGTGTCCCTATGGGATGCTGGTGTTATAGACAACGGCCTAACCTGATATGCCACAATACCAGCCCCAAAGTCAGATAGCTTTTTGGGTATGTTTCCTGAGAGATGGCTTCTAGACTGCTCAGTAACATCTGTTGTGCAGAGGTTACAGCCCATGTGCACAACTGGCTTCAGCTCCTGATGCTTTGACTGGGCTGGGATCGTAAACCAAGAGTTCCCTTAGAGTGGCACCAGACTGGAGAGGCGAGAGTGATTCAAACTGAGAAATCAGCACACAGATGAATGCAACTTGGAGGGCCCACAGTGGTGTGCGAGGGACAGAAATTGTGTTTTTTAAATTGTCCTAGAAACTTCTAACATGTGGTCAGCTACCAATTGTTACCCAATTGTTGCTAACAGATACCAACCCAGGAGTCCGGGCCTCCATGGAGTGGTGAATTCATGCCAGGATCCTGCAGGAACCCCCAAAGGAGAGCGTGAGTGGAACAGGTTAAGAAGGCAGGTACAGACTTGGCTACACAGAGTAGAAGTGGTGGTCCGTAGCCCTCCAAGCAGCAGGAAAATCCAACAGTGCGGTGTGCACAGGGCCTGGGGGGCAGGAGGGACATGGCGTGGCTAAAGCCACAGGTCGGAAAAATTAGACTTGGAGGTTGTGGCGCGGAGAACTGAGTAAGATTCCAGGGTGCTAAGGATACGCATGGAGCATGCGGCAGTGGCTGGGGAAGACTTGTGTCCCCGGTGGTTTGTGGAGCCCGTGGAACGCGCTGGGAGGGAGTCGGGTGCCACCACAACGCACGGTGGGCTTCAGGGGGTTCTGATGACAGCCACCATGGGATGCCGTGGGTCTTTCAGGAGATGGCCTTTGGGGACCGCCCACCGACCGCGCTGCGGGGCAGAGGGGATAAAGGCACCTAGAGGCTCCCAGTGTGCAGGTGCAGACCGCGCCCGTGCGGGGGACAGAGGCGGGGCTTGCTCCGCGCGGCGACGTCGACGGTGCCGCCATACTCGGGCACTCCAGTGGTGCGACGCGGGTCGCCCGGCGCGTGCAGCCAAGCTCAGCTGGTGGGATGGCGCGCACGCGTCGGAGGACGGGTCTGGGCCCCGCGCCCCTCCCCACCCCCGACCGCTCACCTGACACCAGGAAGCAACTGCTCAGCCAGCTCCCTAGGCTCGGCGACATGGCCGCGCCACGGCGGCCCTGGCAGCGCGCGGCTCAAGTCCCCAGCCGCCGCGCCCTATTCCGGGAACCGGGTGGGGCGGGGCGGTCAGGCTCCGCCCCCAGCCTGGTCCACCTGCACCACCCCCAAAGGTCAGTGGCACGGGCATGGCTGGAGGAGCCAGGGAAGAAAGGTATAGGCGAGTAAATTCGCGGGAAAATGGATAGAAAAGTTAAGTTTGTTGTAAAAATTTCAAAATCCACACACACAGACATCTGCAAAAACTTCATGTTAAATACATATTTTTTTAAAAGTTATGCATTGCATTCAACACTATGTTGCATCAAAATAAACTTGTGTTTTAATTTCATTTTCTGGGAAGTTTTAATTTTGAAAGAGGGAGAGTGTTTGTTCCTATTTGCTGGTTAATTTCCCAAGTGCCCAGAAAGTGCCTGGGCTAAGCCAGGAGCCTGGAACCAATCCTGCCATGCGCAGGGGCAGGTGGCTGAGGCCCGGCCACAGGCTTGCCCTAGGGGACCTTCAGCAGGAAGTCAGGACCCGGAGCAGAGCTGGGCTTCGAAGCCAGGGACTCTGACTTGGAATGCCATGCCAAAGCCTCGGCCCTGGAACTTCTCAAACTACACACACACACACACACACACACACACACACACACACACACACTTGAACTGCCTGTCGGGGTGGGGCAGTTATAGCCAGAGGCTAGAGCTTGGGGCAGTGCTGGTGTCTCCTTGTTCTTTCATTTCCTCTAGAGCTCCTACAGGCTCTCAGCAAGGCCCTCTTCTTGGCGGGGGTGGGAGGCGTGGGGGGAGGGGGGAAGGGGAGAGGGGGGAGGGGGTGTGGGGGCTGGGAGGGTGGCTGAAAAGCACCGCCAGCAATCCAGGAATAAGTGTGTTCTTGACCCACCTCTGGGAGGGGCCACATTGTGCCAGGGGGCATTTACTTTGCAATAAGCAGTTTCCTTCACAAGGAAAGGCTGAGAAGGCTTTCATTTCCTCTTCCTAAATGTGGGCAGTGATGAGGTTGGAAAATCAGCGGCATATTGGGAAATGCAGGGCACTGCCTGCCTTGGGTACCAGGAGCCCCAGGGTGATGTGTGGGGAGGGGGCAGCCCAGGTGCCCACAGAATCCCAGAGCTGCTCCCCTGCCCTCGGGCCCCATCAGAAACAACCCCGGCAAGTTTGTATTAAAAGTGTTTTTGTATTGCCCGTCACCAGCTTCCGGCCACCATACGGAACTCTGCAGTGTTCACACAAAGTCAGGCCCCGGAGCTCGTTCCCGAAGTTATGTCACTTTGGAAGTGCAGACTTTCGGAAGGCACCGCAAGGATTATGTGTTTCTGGGCTCTTTCCTATGGAATGTTGTGGATTCTTACTCCCATCCCTCCTCTGCAGAGTGATCTGAGAGCAAAGTTACAAAAAAAATCTGGGCCTAGAACTAGGTCTTCTGGAACTTGCGCCTGTCATCTTTGGACTAGTCATGGGAGACAGGTCCAAGAAACCCACTCTTGGAGTGCAGGCAGCAAGAACGGAGGTGCCCACGCCTTTCCACCGGATGTTTTTTTTTTTTTCAATTCCTATTTCCTATTATTTCCCTTCAATTCAGAGGGTGATGACCTAGTCAACTTCCTCCAATTCCTGAATGAGGCAGTGGAGGTCAGGGGAAAATGCCCAGAGCCACGCCAGCAAAAACGGCAGCAGTCCGAGCTCTGATCACAGCTCAGGCCTCCTGTTGTTTGGTCCATGACATTCTAGAACCTCACTTTTTTTTTTCCTGAGTTACAAGAAACGCAAGCACACAGCTAACCCCTGGCATTGGCATACAGCACTTTCCAGTCTCAAACCTCCTCTCTAGCACTTATCTGCCATGCTTGTTCTGAAATATTGGAAGCCCTTTTGTTCTTTTCTTTTCTTTCTTCTTCTTCTTTTTTTTTAAAAAACTAAAAGATGACCCTGAGATTTGACTCCTCTTGCCTATGCAATGTGTCCTTGGTCTGTTAGTGCACCCAGCTGATTCTGGGCTTATAGCATCTGTGATCTGTCCTTCCCTCTTCCCCACCTCAGGGAACTGGATGAGGGGCTGGCAGTGGAGTTTTCACAGTTCAGGAGGTAGATATCTGAGAGGTGCCCAGGGAACCTGCAGGGAGATGTCCGCCTTTCTCGGCCGTTGCCCCCTGCCCCCTCTCCCATTGCAGGCCTGCCTGGCTACCCTTTCCAGATAAAGCTGCTCTGGTCTCTGCTGGTTAAACCATGTTGATTCTGGGGCTCCCCTGGCCCAATGTCCTTATTTCAGACATACCACAAGGCCACAAGATCGCCCTGGAAGTCACGAGGAATCTTGCTCCTGGGCACATCTGCCTAAAGGAATGGATACAGTAGACCCATTTCAAAGAGTATCACTTTGAACTTGGAAATAATGCACCGAGTGACAGGGTGCTTCCCATACTGAGTATCTTGCACAGGTGATGCCACCAGGGGGAACAGACGAGACGACTGTCCTACTCCTCTCAGAGAATACTTGTGAACCTCAGAGCAGCACAGCACGGTCCCGGAAGACAGAACCGTGTGGGTCCTGGGTGGGTTTACGTTTTTGGCTCATCTCCTTATATAACCGCCCCCTGCAGCAACATCGGAGTCGGAGTCAGAGTCTGAAGTGCCACTCTTCTCGGAAGGAGTGTCCTCAGGCCACTGGCACTCAGAGCAGGTGCTGGGGTTGGGTAGCGTTATGGCCTCCGTGCTGGACATCAGCAGGCTTGGCTCTGGGTTACTGTGGTCCTCCGGGTTGCTGATGTCTTCCGGGAGGGGTGACAACCTCGCAGGGGCTTCCTCTGGGTCCTCGTCCAGGAGCCTCATGAACACAGATTTCAAATCCACATTGAAGGCAGTTCCATCCCCGGAGCTCACAGGGGAGCAGCTGTCCCCATTGGGGAAGGGGTCCGTGGTCTGGCCCTCTGGCCTCTCACTGGTACACTCCGGGGGCAAGGGGCAAAAGTCCCACCTGGGGCTCGTGGGTGGCTCAGCATGGGCCTCTGGTGAGTTAAGCTCCTCCACATCCGACTCCCTAGTGCCCAGGTTGGGGGACTGAGACCCCTCCGAGGCGACCGGAGAGGCGGAGGCCTGAGTGACAGGCCTACCTAACAAGCTGTGCATGGTGTAACCGCCAGCGTTGCCTCCGGGGGCTGTTTCATTATCACTGTCACTTTCATCATCATAGTTGTAATCCCACACTTTCTTCTTCCTGTTGATGCAAATGACCTCCACCGGGTCCATGGCTTCTGATGGAGGCAGGTCAGGGAATATCCAGGTAAAAAAGTCGTGAAATCTCTTTTAAAGAAAAAAAGAAAGAAAAGAAAAGCAGAATCTGCATCAGTTGTGTTTAGGCCTTTTACGTCATGACGCTTAGAGCATTTGTACAAAGGGGCGGAGAGATGGTGACGGTGAGGACGTCACCACCAAACACAACAGCTGATGGTGACGCAGTGGTTGCTATTGGCCCAGCACTGCCCTTAGAGCTTCCCACACATGCCTGTCCCCTAAAGGGAGTGGGGGACTGGTTCTCAGAGCCCCTGGCAGGTACTACTACCTGGGGATGCCAGATTCCTGATGTAAGATGTCCCAAGTACTTGCACATACTCCTGCATTTGACGTTGTTCCTTGATTATGTACGGTGCGTAACACAATGTAAGCAATTATGGGAATAATTGTGATGCTAGACCTGATTAGCTCTGCCTCCCTTGCTGCCCTCCCGTGCCTGCACAGGCACTCCCATACCACACACCTGTTCTGCCCTCAGCTCTAGCCAGACTCTGCTGTGGGGGCGGGGTTGGATGGGTAAGAATTTTTCCGCTGGGTTGCTTAAGGGGCTTCTTACTGACTCATATGAGTTGTTTGTATAACTGGCACGCTAAATAATGTCTATTGCTTATGCTTTGTGTATTCTCACTAACTGTGGTTTATGCCGTTTGTTGAAAACAAATGAGTTTCTGCTCTTTATGTCCGAGACAAACTCTCTTACCTCCCATAGAGATGTTGCTTAGCTTATGCTGGGGATACAAGCCAGTCAGTTGAAGATACCCTAACTCAATGATGCACTTCATCAACAGAACAGTTGGGCTGAATCACTTAACGAAGGCCATATTACACTAAGGTATTGAATTCAAGAAGTCCTAAGTACACCCTCTACTGAACATGCATTGCTTTTGCACCATGGTAAAGTTAAAAATATATATATTGATTTACACCATAAGTGAGGAATCATCTGCCTTCCTTTCTAAAACCCAAGCCCTTCCTCATAATGGTCTTCAGTTCACCTGTAACTGAGTTTTGTGGGGAGTTTTCCTCCCCAGTGGGCAGCCTTGACCGGCCAGTGTGCTTTCTCTTTCCAGCCTGTGTGAGCTGTGTTTTCACAGGCACAGGCTTGCTTCTGGGACTCCCTGTTTGACAAAGTCTTTGCTAATACTTTTCAGTGGGATCTGATAAACGTCTTCACAAGTCGCTGCATCTTCTGTTACATTTATTCTTTGAGTGCTTTAAAAGGCACTATGTTGTTAACTGTGCAATTCTATTTTGATGAAGTTCAAAGTCAGGCAAAATTAATCCACGCTGTTGGTTACCAGGATGTTTATCCTTGGTAAGGGGTGATAACAAGGTAGCAGTGGGGAGCCTTCTGGGGTGCTGCTCATGTTCTCTCTGTCTCTCTTTAAGAAGATTTGTTTGTTTACCTGAAACACAGAGTTGGAGAGAGACAGAGATCTTCCATTGCCTGGTTCATTCCCAAAGTGGCAACAACAGCCAGGGCTGGACAGGTGAGGTCAGGAGCCCGCGGCTCCATGCATGTCTCCCACACGGGTGGCACATGGAAAGCCACCTTGCGGTGCTTTCCCAGGCATTTTAACAGGCAAGTGGATCAGAAGTGGAGCAGCCAGGACATAAATGGGTCCCCACATGGCATGCCTGCATGCTAGCCAGGGTCTTAATGTGCTGCACCACCATGCCGGCACCATGTTCTCTGAGCAGGAGTCACAGGAGTATGGTCAGTTTGTGGAAATTCACCAGGTATACACCTGTCACATGTATGCTTCATGTTTTAGATAATGCAGAGCAGTTTCTCATTTACTTAGCAATCAAGTGCTATTAATATTTTGTGTGTAAACCTATGAATCTCCAGGGTTTCTAAGTGTCATGAGGATTTTTTATTTAGACAAGTGTATCATCTGTAAGTTGTCATTGTCTCTACCCTACTCCTTATACTTCCATAAAGGTGGGCTTTTTGTTCTGTTTTATTTCTTTTTTTCTAAAGATTTATTTCTTTTTATTGGACAGTCAGATATACAGAGAGGAGGAGAGACAGAGAGAAAGATCTTCCATATGAGCATTCACTCCCCAAGTGACCACAACAGCCAGAGCTGAGCTGATCCAAAGTCAGGAGCCTGGAGTCTCTTCTGGGTCTCCCACGTGGGTGCAGAGTCCCAAGGCTTTGGGCTGTCCTTGACTGCTTTCCCAGGCCACAGGCAGGGAGCTGGATGGGAAGTGGAGCTTTTGGGATTAGAACTGGCACTCATATGGGATCCCAGTGCTTACCAGATGAGGACTTTAGCTGCTAGGCTACCGCCCTGGGTCCTGTTTCTTTGTTTCTACATCCTCAGTGCCAAGAACATCCTGATACATGTAGATGCTCATTACATTTTAAAAAGAATGAAAAATGTTATTTAAAAGTTTTAACCTCTGTATAACGAAAGTACTAGATCTTAGAGTTCTGACTTCAACATCAAGTAAAATTTTAATGGAGAGACATGAGGTCACAACCTGTAAAATGGAGGCAGTTTTATCAGTTGTGAAGGGAAGTTTGTTACACCACTAGTAAAGTTTGGAGACAAGGTGAGTGAGTTCAACATAGAAGAAAATATTTCCAAATGAAAGAGGAAAGCGTTTCTATGAAAAATAAAGCATTGTGATAGGGGAAATGATGGACAGAAGCACTTAAGCTTAAAACAAAATTGAAGCTTTGGAAATGTGAAAGATTAAAATGTGGGCTCGGCTGAGTGGAGGCCGTGAGCGGAAGCACAGAGCAGAATCAAAGCCAGGCCAACAGTTGGATCCACTAACAGTGGAAGTACCACAACGAGGGTCCCTTCTGGGAACTGCCACATACTTAATAACGAACAAAATAGTAAAACTTATGATCTAGGACTGGCACCTGGGTGGCACGCTGAACCTCTGCCTGCAGCACCAGCATTCCATACGGACACCAGTTCGAGTCTTGGTGGCTCCACTTCTCTGGTGTACCCCCTGCTAGCAGGCTTAGGAAAGCAGCAGAAGATGGCCCAAGTGCTTGGGTGCTTGCGCCTATATGGGAGACCTGGAAGAAGCTCCTGGTTGCTGGTTTTGGAGCAGCCCAGGTCCAGTTAGCATGGCCATTGGGAAGTGAACAAAATCTTCCTGTCTGTCCTACTCTTTGTAACTCTGCCTTTCAAATAAAAAATAAATAAATCTTCAATCAATAATCTATATCAGAGGAGCTTTAGAGAAATGTATCGCTAGTGGCATTTTAAATCAGTTTTTAGATTTTCAAGTCCATTTTGTATACGTCTCCCTGAAGTCATCTAAAACTAAAAGATGATCTATTTTAAAAATGCCAATGCACCAAACATAATGGACAAAGAAAAGGGAAGAAAAACTACTGGGAAAATCAGTAGCCCAATCCAGTAGCCTTCCGGCGGGGACGTGGTACATGAATAGTCCTGGAGACCTGTGGAATCATTAGCAACTGTCGTTAGATCAAAGACAAGAAGCAATCACAAAATGCACAGGTAACTGTGAAATACAGGCTTCTTCGGAGGGAACACAACCCGGGGAATAACGCACCTGGATGTTTTTAGCAAATTATATTTCCTGTGAAAATTTGCAAGTATGAGAGCAAATGCCTTCACTTAAAGACAAATAATAAAGATAGAAAAACTTTAAGCTACATACCAGGGCTTTGGGTAACTTGCTTTTTAAGCATATACAACCAGCGCGTTTCAGGGTCGCTGTGGTGGTTATGAGGACCATTGCTACCAAAGACACAGCAATGATTCTTCCTATTTTGGCAGAGTCTGTTGATTCTGATGAAGAAAAATCAAATGCTTTGTTTCAAAAGCAATCCAAGAAATAACCACAGGGGGCATGCAGTATCTGCTGTTACAAGTTCACGTGAGTCCAACAGTTCATCCAGGTTTTCTATTGCTTGAATACCAAAGAACGCATAGTCATCCAAGGGTGTCCTTTTTTAGAAAATGAACTCTATTCAACTTTTTAAAAGTAAAATTGCTTTCAGTTTCTGTCTCAACACTGCCTACCCAGTGCAGGAGCCCCTCCCCAAGGATTTTTAGTTACATGATCAGTTGACATGACACTAGCCACATCTCAAATCCCCATATTAGTATGTGCTGCACGGACAGAGGCAGGCAGGAAAGAATGAATGGGACAAAAACAACCCAGTCATTCTGCCTCAGGCCACCACAAAAATCAGAGTTCTCTGGGGCTCCCTTTGACCTTTGAAGAGGTCCCTTCAGCCTCTCCTTTTTTTTTCAGCCTCTCCTTACAGTTCCTTTCGGGAAATTGCAATTGGCTGACCAAAAAACAGCCTCTTAGCCTCTTCCTAAGTATGATGGGACTGGGAGGAAGCCGACTGTTTCATGACTAGCTCCCTTAACGTTCCACAAGGATCTCCCTTCATTTAACTTTGTGACTGAAGGCTTGTGCAAAATATGTGAAGAGAAATGAGAAAATAAAAACGGATTTTGGGCCCAGCACAGTAGCCTAGACTTGCACATGCCAGGATCCCATATGGGTGCCTATTCGAATCCCAGGAGCCCTGCTTCTCATCAAGCTCCCTGCCTGTGGCCTGGGAAGGCAGTAGAGGAGGGCCCAAAGCCTCAGGGCCCTGTATCCATGTGGGAGACCTGGGGGGAAGACTCCTGGCTTCAGATTGGCACAGCACTGGCTGTTGCGGCCACTTGGGGAGTGAATCAGAGGAGGGAAGATATTCCTCTCTATCTCTCCTCCTCTCTGTATATCTGACTTTCCAATAAAAATAAAATAAATCTTTTTAAAGAAATGGGTTGGGTACTTTTGGCCCCGCAGAAGATTAGGGAATCAACAGAGAGTTCCTAAAGGCCCTTGCACTGGTAGGCGGCATGAGATTCAAGAGTCCACGATCCTCTCCATCAGGGGTGGAGACCTGGAATCGGGCCCAGCTACTGAGGCACACCTTCACAGTGTGAGATCCTCACAGGCATAGAGGTGACTTTCCTCAACAGGACACTGGAAACCACAGTGACTTCCCAGGTGCAGCAATGGCATACAGCTCAGGCTTTGAGTCACGTACCCCTGCAGCTTCCTCCACACTAAACCTAGAGGACTTCACTGAAACTACTCCAAAGACACCTTGCAAACCAAATGATGTGTTTTAGTTAATGGGTTAGCACAGTTCTTCTCTAGCTGGGGTATTCTCATGAGGTTGATTATTTTTGATGAGAGCTTATACTTTTTTGTTCTTAGCTTGATAATAATCTTAAAAAAACATTAGTCTGTCTTAGATTCCTGAAAAATCATGCAGACAAGCTATTTGAAAATATTCCTCTTTGAGAAAGTAGTGCTATCAATGCTCTTACTCAGGAGAAGTTGTAAATACCTTATTTGTAAAAGAGGAGTCAGATCATCCCACATCGGAAAGGCGTGATCAGACCCAAGCCTTCAAAATTTAGCCTTTGGGGTCAGTGTAGTGCCACAGGAGGTGAAGGTGATGCTGCAGTGCTGGCGTCCCACATGCACATTGGTTTGAGTCCTACTTACTCTGTCTCCCTTCCAGCTTCCTGCTAATGCACTTGGGAAAGTAGCCGAAGATGACAAGTACATGGGTCCCTGCCAGTCACATGGAAGACACTGGTGGAGCCCCTGGGTCTTGGCTTCGGTCTGGGCCACTCTGGCCATTACAGCCATGTGGGGAATGGAAAGATTTGTCTGTCTCTCTCTATTACTCTTCCTGTCAAATAAATAAGTAAACCTTTTTTTAAAAAAAAAAATGGCCTTGGATGAAGGTTTCTTTGCATTCATTGTTAAAATTTTAAAAATCAATAAAAAGCTAAAACCCAAAGAGATCTCACAAGCCCAGCAGTGAGCTGAGTCACAAGGGTAGGGCATGTCTGATTCATCTGATCTTGAGAAAAGACAAAGAACGTTGTCAAGAGCTCGAAGAAGATGAACATCAGTCTCTCAGAGCAACTCCCTTCTGCGCTGCTGGACCCACACCACCACCTGGCACCTGGATGGTTGGCATCAGCCTGTAGAGTGAGTCAAAAACAAAATGGAGCAAACATGGCTCATTGCTAACTGAAATACTTCTCACTTTTGTAACTTCTGCTTTGCTTGCTTAGCTATGAAACTGTGTGAGACTGGGCAAGCCCACAGGGCTGAGCCTCTATGTGACCTGCAGGAAAGATGGTTCTCAGTTGCCAGGAATCAAGATCCAAGTCTGGCTAAATGACAGGTGGCTCCAAGATCTGAGTCTGGTTATCTCAGCTGCTGGGCTGGAGAGGAAACAGGGCACGGACTGTCCGGGTGGGATAGCCAGGCAATGCACAGCATTTCCTCCCTTGCTATACCATACAAGCCATTGTAAATTGCCCCTATAAAAACTCTGTGAATGTGCTATTGGGGACCTCACTCTAGTAAGGGGTGTTGGTCCTGGCTGATCAGTTGTCTTTTTTTTTAAAGATTTATTTATTTGTATTGCAAAGTCAGATAAACAGAGAAGCGGAGAGACAGAGAGGAAGATCTTCCATCTGGTGATTCACGCCCCAGGTGACCACAATGGCTACTGCTGCACTGATCCAAAGCCATGAGCCAGGAACTTTCTCCAGATCTCCCATGTGGACGTCGGGTCCCAAGGCTTTGGGCCATCCTCGACTGCCTTCCCAGCCCACAAGCACGGAGCTGGATGGAGGTGGGGCTGCTGGGATTAGACCTGGCGCCCATATGGGATCCTTGTGCGTTCAAGGTGAGGACTTTAGTTGCTATGCCACTACACCAGGTTCTGATCGGTTGGCTTGTCTCTCATTGTAATAAAACTTTGCTGTGACTATCACTGGTGTATGCAACATTCTGTTTTAATGGTTGAGTGGATGCAACAAGGTCCTTGGGTTCCTGGCTTCTGGCAATAGCATTCAGGTGCTCTCTATCCATCCCACATTTTTTGATCATGAGGGGGCAATCGAGGGGGTCTTTGTTTCCTACAATGGCTTCCTATATGTCACAGAACCCCCCAAGCCTGGGTCGGCTCACCCAATGCACAGCAAGCCAATCACTGACACCAGGGTGGCTGAACAAAGCAGGTGTTTATTTTGCAAAGCACAGAGCCAGCTACTGTTCACTTGCACAGGGGAGAGGGGCAGATTAAGGTTGGTAGTCTTGCAGAGTAAAGCTGGGGGCGAGGAGGGGTGTGATCAGTTCTCGTGCACGTCTCTGGCTGGTCCACAGTGTCCGTGGCCTTCCTTGGATAGGTCAGTGATGGGAGGCTGGCGGGTTCTTTTGAAAATGCTGTGATGGTAGACCGGGCTCCGGCTGTCTGGGGCCTATGGGTAGATTGGTGGTTACTTTATTTGATCAGGCTCTGGGGTGCATGTGAACTGTCTCAAACTACACTCTACAGTTAGGCTGTTAGAGGTAACAGTTACACCCTGTTTGTGATCTGGAGTCTCATGGGGGCTGCCTGACCCTTAATTTAGTGAGTTAGAGTGAAGACAGAGGAACCAAAAGCTTTGGAAGATAGACTGGGACCTGATAGTTTGTAGCTATAATTGGGCCTTGCTTTCAGACACCTTTTCTGATCCTGAGGTTACCATCTTTGCCTTGCTTAGCTCACTTCTGCTGAACCCTGCCAGGCACGATCCTGCTTGACAGCCTGCATTGCTGGACCCTCGGGATGCAATCCTCTCCCCTCCTATGTTTGCGTCACTTCCTCCATCTCCTTCCGGATTAATTTCTTACGAGTGGTATGAAATAACAAATATATTTTGTATAGTAAGGGGTTTCTCTGAGCTAAATATTTTGGAATTGGCATGGAAATACACCATGCTGTCCCAGCATCTAGAGGCTCCTGTATTTTACGGCAGCCTTTATGGCATCTCCATCTCTCTCACTCTGACTTTTGCTTCTTTTGTCACACTGCCCTGCTATTTTCTTTTCCACAGACCCACCTGCTCATCCTGGGTCCCCTGGCTAACCCAGGGTCATCTTCCCATCTCAAAGATGTTTAATGTAATCACAACTGCAAAATCCTTTTGTCAGGGTCACCTATCAGGGATTAGGGTGTGGATATCTTTTGGGGGAAGGGGGCATGACACAACTTTCTTGGGTCTTTCCTCCAATCTACCTTCTCGGAAAGGCCCTTCCTGGCTATCTGTCATGCTGTAGGGGTCCTGCTCACATCCCCCTTAGCTGTCTGGGTACCCCCACGTGCCACTTCCCCTGTTGGTTGACATGTTTCAGACGTGCTCTTCTAAGGAATTGCTCTGGGTCAGAGTGGGACTGCCATACTGGCCTGGCGGCGGGGGGGGGGGGGGGGGGCGGCGTGTCCATCATAGATCCTATCAGGGAGCAACCAACTGACTGACTTGGGAGTACAACTCACATTCCGGAAAACCCTAGAGATCATGGCTGAAGGAGGCCTGAATGGGACCACATGCTTGCTTAGTTCATTTCTACCACCCCATCCTCGTTTCTCTTTCTCTTGAACTGTCCTCTCCCGTACTGATAGCTCACCCTTGAACAAGAATTCCCACCCCAGACTCTGCTTCTAGGGAACATGAACCAAGAGACCCTGCCTATTTGATATAGTGAGCCCCATCCCCCACTCATGTCACCCCTCTTCTGCTTTAATTTCTTTCCATAGCAGCTACTATCACTTAGCACACAATATATTTGATCTGTGACCTTGCAATTCTGTCTCCTATTAGAACATGAGCACAAGGTCTGGGATTCTTACCCGTTTTGTTCACTAATTTATCCACATCAAGAAGAGAATCTGACCTACTGATTGTCTCCAAGAGACCTTCATCAAATGAACAGAATTTCCCTTCAATGCCCCCATTAAGAGCAATCAATTGAAGATTTGTGAGGGAAGGTATTTCCCCAGGTTTGGGGGCTATAATCCTCTGTCAGTCTGTTTATTGGTCCATCCAGGAACCCTCCCCCAAACTCCTTTCCCTGAGTATGGCTGAGTAAGTGTAGAATCAGATGATAAGTGGATGATGGGATGCCTCAGTATGTGGCGTCAGAGAAGAATCAGACATTAAGCATTTGGATAGCTGGGGCCACCTCCCCATTAATGGTCTTAGATAAGGTTGAGGAATGGAGGCTGACTTAAGAGGCATGATGATATACGCATTCCACAGAAGAAAGGACCTGATAGCATGCAGTGGCATGAATATTTCTCAGCAGGTGGATTAGAGAGAGTTGGAGGAGACAATGAGTCACTACATGGCATGCCTGCCTCCAAAAACCCCAGGGCTTCTTGGATGTGACAGGAAACCTCATCTGTCTGTCATATCAGTCATGTGAGGTTTCAGTGTCAGGAGGAGGCTTGTTTGCAAACAAACCATACAACATATGGACATATGGAAAAGCCAGAGTCCAGGCTTTCTCCCCAGCTCATAGCACAGAGCTTCAGAAACCCACAACACCTGCGTTGAGTGACAACTGCATCATCTGCTCCTCCTAACAGGCCCCCTTGTGGTCACGGTTATGGCTTGACCTTGAACAGTAAAAGTTAAAGGGCACGTGACAGTATTGAGAGGGACCTTCAAGTGTCATGTGTGTGGTGGGGGCTCTGCGCTTAAGAATAAATTAACATAGCAGTGGTTTTCTTATACAAGTGAGATTTCGCTTTCTCATGCATTCTTGCCACATGATACCTGCTGCCATATATGACACAGCAAAAAGGCTCTCACTTGGCTCCTTGATCTTGAACTTGCCAATCTGCAGAACTGTGGAAAATAAATCTCCATTCTTCTTTACCCTGTTTCAGGTATTCTATTGGGACTGGGAAATTTAGCAGGGCTTCTCCAAGGGAAGGTTTTTTTTTTTTTCAATCTCTTTCTAGTGAGAGTTGGAGACCTTGTTAGTTTCTAGAAATTAATATCCAAGGAAGGTTCCTAGGCTGGATTGTTCCCTGTGTATTTCTCAGTGTGCAGGAAGGGTCAGGATCACCCTGCTCACTGTTCTGACGTTCTTACAAGAGATCTTGCAAGAGAAAAGCTTTACAACTTCATCCCTGACTGTCCCTCATCCATTCTGGCATGTTCCCCTCTCACCCGTGACCCAGAATAGTGGTCTCCTTTGCCTGGGAATCACTCCCAATCTCGTTGCTTCCACTCTAGCACTCTTGGCTGCCTCTGCATCCAGCTGCTCTGAGAAACTCAGCCTGGTGTAGCATTTGGCTTCAACAATGGTCAAGCTTAGGAAACAATGGTATTCAATCTAATCCCGACTCCCTGAAATAAAGTTCTTTCCATTTCAGAAAGATTTCTGACTTTATAAAGGTAAATGTCTAACTAGCCCCACAGCATGACAATAGGAGAATGACTCTGTCAGAAAGCTGAGGCTGGCCAACAGAAAACACTTCTGCGTTGTGCCTTTATTGGTCTTCTAGTAGCTCTAAGAACCTCAGACTCTTCTGTAGGCTTTCTCTTAGAATAAAAGCATATACTTTCAAAACTATTTTAAAAAATGAACATACCTGGTTCCTGGTCAGGTGGAAAGAGGGTGCATTTTGGAGGAGGTTTAACTACATTAGTCTGAAGTGTAGGCTCAAAATAAACAGACACACAATAGTTGCTTTTTGGAATCAACTTCTCAATGACATAGCTGATATTTCCACTGATGTTTTTTGGTATCCCGGGTTTATGCTGTCAAAATAATTAACATATCAGTCAGACGTTGTGTGAGAATTTTCCTGAGGCAGACCCTACAAGGAGCTTAGGGAATTTGCCTTCAGTAGGGTTAAGATGGCTGGCTCCTGGATCGCACTGTGGCTTCACTGTACCCAAAAGGCTTTTGTGTTTCCTTTTTCATTTCTTCACCCATACGTTGTTTATTCAGTGGAATGTTTTTTGACTCCATGGTACTGTACATTTTCTGTTTTAGCTTCATACCTGTTGTTGTTGACTTTGTTTTGCACCTTCTCATTTAAGGAAATGCATAGTGATGGTGCGATAGAGACTACCATATCCAGATGTGAACATACAATGCAGCATTCCTCTCTACTTGCAAATCAAAGATGGACTCTCAATGAAACTGTTCAACTTCCAATGAAACTCAGTGAATACTGGGATGCTGGGCTGTCTGACATTGTCTGTATCAGCAATATTTAAATAACATTTAAATAACAGACTGATGGACTTATGACTGCTTATGAAGGACTATACTATTGTAATAATATGGGGAAAATTAATCGGGGGGGTTGGGAATTTGGGGAGGGGGTAGGGAAATTCCAAACCCAATGGAATTGTACCATAAAACTCAAAATTAGAAAGAATAGAATAAATCTTAAAAAAAGATAGAGCTAACTTAGAGTTAAGAAATATTATAGATTTGGCAAGAAAAGAAATTTATGAGTCACTTGCAACAATTAACTTACCATAAAATGATAAGGATATGTTTTTACGTACATGCATATAAGCACAGACAAGGGTATTTTGCAAAGTTCTTGGAAAATAGAGTTAAAAGATATTGCTTTGTTGCAACATTGTTTTTTTAATCCATGCAATCAGCTTTAAAAAAAACACAACTATTGGGCCCGGCGCGGTGGCGCAAGTGGTTAAGGTCCTTGCCTTGTACGCCCGGGATCCCATATGGGCGCCGGTTCTAATCCCGGCAGCCCCGCTTCCCTTCCAGCTCCCTGCCTGTGGCCTGGGAAAGCAGTTGAGGACAGCCCAAAGCTTTGGGACCCTGCACCTACGTGGGAGACCCGGAAGAGGCTCCTGGCTTCGGATCGGCATAGCATCGACCGTTGCGCTCACTTGGGGAGTGAATCATCGGACGGAAGACCTTCCTCTCTGTCTCTCTTCTCTGTATATCCACCTTTCCAATGAAAAAATAATAAAAATAAATCTTTAAAAAAAAACACAACTATTTATGGTAAAGGCAGAACTACAGAGAGACAAAAATAGAGAGAAGGGTCTTCCACTGGCTCACTCCTCAACTGATGCAAGAACCAGAGCTGGCTTAGGAGTTGAGCAGCCAGTTAAGACCCCCGTGATTCACAGCGAGGTGTCTCCAGCTCCTGACTCCAGCATGCCGCTAATGCACAATGCTCCTAATGCAATAGTGGCTCCTGGAATAGGGTTCCTTGACCCACATAGGAAATCTGGACTGAGCTTCAGGTCCTGGCTTTAACCCTCTCCCTACTGTGTGCCCCCGCCCCTCCCTGGCACTCAGCGAGTGAACCAACAGATGGGCATGCACGTGTTTTCGCTCTCAAATGAAAAGGTGAAATCCAGGTTGTGGAATTAAAATAGAAAAGCTGATTTTGGTAACAAAATAAGTAAGAAATCCCAGCACAAAGGCTGGCAAATGGCTTAACAACTGGAGTAGCTGGTTTGTACCCCAGCTGTTCTGCTTCCTGATCCAGCTCCCTGCTTTTGGCCTGGGAAAGCAGAGAAGGTTGTCCCAAGTCTTTGGGCCCCTGGGCCCATATGGGACATTTGGTAAAAGCTCCTGGCTCCCAGCTTCAGATGAACCCAACTTTAGCTGTTGCAGCCATTTGGGGATAAACCAGCAGATAGAAGATATTTCTCTCTCCCTTTCTTTATAACTTTGATTTTTTAAGTAAAACAAACAAATCTTTAAAAAAAACACTTGAAATTTCTGCATAGTTTTTATAATATGCCCTTAACTTGGTTGATTTCCAAAACTATCTGCAAAGCAGGCATCTCCCTGCTCAACAGATGAGGAAACTGCACAGCTCCAGGCAGCCACTCTCCTGTCTCTGGAAACACCCTGCCTCTTCTTTCCCTTCAAATTGGTTCTGTTCCAGAATTTACAAGAAGATATGAAGCCTTTCATGAAGAGAAACTCTCATATCATGTTTTATAGTTTCCAAAATGCGTGCTTACTAGCGGCTGAATAAATGTGGATTTCTAGAAATTCAGTCTTTTGTGATAGTGTGTTTCTGTTGGCAAGGGAGAGAAATGATGAAACAGGGTAACATGCAAGGTCATGCATGCAAATAATAAAGTAGCAAATGGGGATCAAGGTACCCAGTATCCCAGTGGGATTTAGCTACTGAGCTATCACGCCACACCTTATACCCAGTATCCCAGTGGGATTTAGCCACTGAACCACCACACCAGGCTCTATACCCAGTACCACAGTAGGGCTCTCACATCTCTTACGGGAGCCTGTGTGGCAGAAAGAAGAGCATCCTGGTGCCTTGCTGGGTGCAGCCATGGCACAATTTCAGTAAGTCTACAAGCAAGGCTAACCTTCACCTGCTCCACCATCCACTCTTACCTGCACTAGCACACTGCAACAATACCTTCTGGAAGACTCTATCTACATACAAACATGCTACAATTTCCTCTACCTTCAAAAGTTTCTCCTCTTCTCCTACTTCCCCTTGTAGCTACCAATATGCATTGTTTTCTAGAAAACTCTTCGATAGCCTCTCCTTTGTCTTCCATTATAGCTGCCCTTCTTTCTTGAATTCACCCAATCCAGGCCTTGCCCTCATTACCCCACCAAAACTGTCTTATTAAGGGCACGATGCCTACCGTGTTGCCCAGACCAAAATTTTCAGTTCATGGTCCTAACCTGTCTCATTTATAACATTTGATTCAATAACTCCCACTTTCCTTCCAGAACTTTCCTCTCTCAGCAACCAGGACATCACTCTCATCTAGTTCTCTTCCCACCACATAGGTTGGTGGGAAGAGAACTAGGTTCAACATAGGTTGGGTCCTTCTTAGTCCATTTTGCTGTTTTTTCCTCACTTGGTAGACTTCCACATTCTAGAACATTCTGGAGTTCCATCCGTGGACATCTCTTCTCTGTGTGCCCCCACTTAATAGTTGAGGAAATCCAACAGACATCACAAAGCCAATGACCCTAAGTACATTTTCCTCACTGGGAGTTCTTCCCCAGATTCTAGGCTCAGTACATCCAATTCCTGCCAACAAACATCTCCTCCAAGGTGCCTTCTGGGTACTTTGATTAAGCACATCCAAACCTGAGTGCTGATAACCAACTCATAGCTCCTTGGTCCTTAACCAAAGCATCAGAGACCTGACTTCGTTCTTTTTCTGCTATACTGAGGCAGAAAGGCAATAAGATTAAGGGGGAAGTTGAAAAAAGTAAATCCCCAAATTCTCTGTTTAATCTATTTAACTGAAATCCCTGATCCTAGAGCTTGAGATAAAAGACAGAATAAGACTACCTGGAGATGAGGGGAAAAAAATGCAGGCTTGGAAATCCTTCACTTAGAAGCTGCATATGGATATAATGGCCAGATGGCCTACACAGCAGGTGACTTCAAAATTACACTAAGGGTCCTCACCCAAGACGAAGTGCTAGAAAACCACAGTGCCAGTTGCCTTCAGGGTCCCCAGTCCTGGAAGCATTGATCTGAGCTTTGGTTCTTGGCCTCCTTCTGCTTCTTCATGCGATAAGCCTTTGCTTGCTGTGGTCTGTGTGGACTTGACTGAGTGCATTGTATTAGGTTTAAGGAAACTGGTCCACATCTTCCTACACTCCATTCCTGCAACATCACGCAGCCAATATGCAAGCATTGTTCACTGCACTCACAAGGTCTGTGCAGGACTGATCACTTCTCAGTGTCCCCACAGCCACCAGGCAGTCCAAGCAAACACCATCTGCTCCGTGGACTACATCAATAGCTTTTCCCCTGCTTGGTTTAACTTAAGGATGAGTATTCTCTTGTGAATAAGATCCTTATTAATGATGATTTTCCACATCTAGTATTGTCCACATCCTAATCAGCCCAGGATGAATCCTCCTGGCTTTGGCCTGGTACAGTGGTGGCCTCTGTGACCCAGCAAATGGAAGATCTCTCTCTCCCTCCCCAATTCTGTCTTTCAAATAATAATAACAAAAAGAAATAGTTACCTCAGATAGGTAATGGTTCATGGGTTAAAAATAAATGAGAAATGGTGAAAATACATGTAATGTCCTTTGATATGCACCCTGAGCCGCATTAACTCACATTTTTTCTCTCATTTTGTGGTGTGTAGACTATAATTCATACGGGTATTAAATACAAAGTGATAATGTAATTTGTTACTGCCAGTGAAGTGATTATCATCCTAACAAGGTCCTAGCTGGTCTCCACACTTCCAGCTCTGCCCCCTGTGATCTGTTCTTAATACGCTTGTGGGATGACCTGGTAAGCCCACAGTGCCCTAATGGGTCTGTCCCTTGGCTTCTGACCTCACTTCCTCCAACCCTCCCTTCTTAGTTACACTCCTCTCCCTGTCATTTCTCAGATCCACAGGGCCCACTGCGGACTTAGGATCCTTGGCCCGCCTGTGCTCTGTGTCCGAAAGGACTCTACCCAGAGTTTTGTGGGCTAGTCTTACTCAAAAAAGAATTTTGGACTGAAATGAGCTCCCCAAAGCTAAGCCGCTGTGACAGCAGGGCCGCCTGCTGGATGTGGTTTATCCATTTTCATTGCTTATTCCCGTCATCTGGGTAGCTCGGGACACTAGGCAGTTGAAGATCCACATCTGTCTGATGATACTGCGGTCATCTCAAGGTTACTGACCTTTAGTTGGGCCCCAAAGGGGAAATCAGGAAGGGACAGAGCTGCTGGGAAGGGCCAGTTTTCTTGCTGTGTGTGAGAACAGCAGGGGCAGGCAGATACTTTTTGTACAACACATGTAGCCCAGCTAAACTACTCTTCAAGGCATTCTCACTTTGGTTTTCTGAAATCTGACTGCTGTCCTGGTCTATACCATTCATCTCTCTCTTCTGGGTGTCCCCTAACATTGTACATGTGACTTACTCTTTTAAAGACTGGGGCTGTTGGGCCAACTCTACACATTGCTACAATGAACAAACCACAAAGAGGAATTTTCTAAAGCCAGACCACCCTGAGGTGCCTGAGCAGTTCAACTACAGATTGCTTTATTTAAGGGGGCACATGTGTCCACAGCTAAGGCCAAACTGACTTGACTTACCCCTAGGGATCACTTACCGTCTTAACAATCCCTCCAGTCTCCTCACTGATGATGAGCCGTAAGTAATCTTCTAAATTGTTCCTCAGTACCTTGGGGAGCTTGGATGGAAATTTTACTGTAACATTAATGTGGTCTGTGAAGTCAGTAATTTCAAACTCTGGTGGCTCAATATATACTGTGGGAGAAAACAGAAAGAAAATAAACCCAGTATCAGCCAAAGACTGCAGAATAGTGTCTCATACTGGCACGATACAACCTAAGTCTGGCCAATGATTCTAAAAGTAGCATGTGCTATTTTAATTTCATAGGTGAAAATCTTAAGAAGAGTAAAAGTGAGGTGGTTTGGTTAACAGAGCCATGGAAATCTGAGGAAAGATTCAGGTTGGAAGTCAGTAACTTTCAATTGTTTGTATTTAAAACACGAAAGTAAAATAGACTTCAAATTAGAATAGCAATAGATAATCATGGCAGGAAACAAGAACAGGCAGTTTTCTTTATATGTGGCTAATCATCTTCTGCCTATGTGACGTGTAGATAACTATACCTACCCATGGCTGCTTTAAAAAGTGCACCGGAAAAGGAACTAAAAGCAGTGCAAAACAAGCTTGAGGGTCTGGCAGCGTGGCCTAGTGGCTGAAGTCCTCGCCTTGAATGCGCCAGGATCCCATATGAGTGCCAGTTCTAATCCCAGCAGCTCCACTTCCCATCCAGCTCCATGCTTGTGGCTTGGGAAAGCAGTCGAGGATGGCCCAAAGCTTTAGGACCCTGCACTCACATGGGAGACCCAGAGGAAGTTCCTGGCTCCTGGCTTCGGATTGGTGCAGCATCTGCCGTTGCGCAGAGTCCCAAAGCTTTGGGCCGTTCTCGACTGCTTTCCCAGGCCACAAGCAGGGAGCTGGATGGGAAGTGGAGCTGCTGGAATTAGAACTGGCACCCATATGGAATCCTGGTGCATTCAAGGCAAGGACTTTAGCTGCTAGGCCACGCTGCCAGGCCCTGTGGTAAAGTTTCAATACACACCTAATCCCTTCCCAGGATTGTGCTGGACAAAGCACACTGCCCCCTCCCCCATCTGGCTCTTCATGCATTTTTTTATAGTTATTGGTTGAATCATGAAAAATATCTCATTATTACTTAAGTGAGCATTCTTTAATAAATCATAATGATCTGGAAGTTAATATTTGCTTTTCTAGGCATATTTACACACAGATCTATAGCAAACACAAATTGTAGCAGTCTCATACATTTCTCTGAGATTAGGAAAAGAAAAATAATGGAGCTGAAGTTGTCTTAGGGAGCTGTTTCCAAGCATAGGAAAAGAAAGATGGGGCAACTCCAGGGGCCTGTCACTGTGGTGCAGTGTTTAAGTCACTGCCTGAGATGCTGGCATCCATCCATATGGGAGGGCTGATGGAGCCATGGAGCCTGCGTTCTGATCCAGCTCCTTGCTCTGTTTTTGGTTTTTGATTTATTTGCTTTCATTTGGAAAGCAAATTTACAGAGAGAAGGAGAGACAGAGAGAAAGATCTTCCATTCTTTGGTTCACTCCCCAAATGTCTGCAGTAGACAGAGTTGAACCGACTCAAAGACAAGAGTTAGGAGTTTCTTCCAGGTCTCCTGTTGAGGTGCCAGGTCCCAAGGCTTTGGGTTATCTTTCACTATTTTCCCAGTCCATAAGCAAGGAGCTAGAATGGAAGCAGAGCAGCTGGGACATGAACCAGTGCCCATATGGGATGCTGGTGGTGCCCCTGCAATCTACATGGGAGACCATGATGGAGTTCCTGGCTCCTGGCTTTGGCCTGGTTTAGCCCCAGCTGTTGCAGTCATGTGAGAAGTTCATCAGCAGATGGCAAATTTCTCTCTTCCTCTCTCTGTATTGTTGGCTTTAAAATAAGTGAATCTTTAAAACAAAACAGAAAGAAGACGCAGCTGTACTCTTGGGCATCATATGGTGCTCCCTTGTGCAAGAGCTACTGGGTTACCTCACGGGGAGCAGAGATACCACATCCTGTCAGACTGTGAAAGGAACAGAAAAACAGCGACTAGGACTGCCCAAAGGGCCACCTTGTTTAGGCACTGGGAGACAATCTGCAAAGCCCAGATTACGGTTTCATAATGTTTTCAGAAAAAAAAACTTAAAGCTCAGAGCTGCCAAGGAACTAATGCAGTTGCAAAGCAAGAGATGGCATAGCCAGGGCTGAACCTACGCCAGGAGCCTAAAACACTTTTCCAGCCCTCCCCATCTCATGGCAGAGTACAAATGATGCTCTGGATGATGAGGAAGTTGGCAAACAGAGATCCACTCACAGTCCAGAGACGTGAAAACGGCCGAACAGTTCACCGATACGGCCCCTTGGAATCCTTCCACTAGGATGAAGTAGTTCTCATAAAAGTCTTCCCATGCCTCTGTCAGGTCACAAAATGTGCTTGTGATGTTTGTACAGCTTTCAATAGTTTTTATAGCTTCTGGTTTACTTTGGGATGAAAAGAGATGGAAAAAGGACAACTTTATCTCATGAGAAACTATTTTCGGTGTTTCTTATTTCCTCATTCCTTTAGAACTCTGCCCAAATATCTCATATCACACACATCAAGCCACCTTCCCTAAGCACCTTATGTAAGCTGTAACCCCTTACCGCCCACAACTCTGCACCTCAATCCCTCTTATCCTGGTCCTTTTACTTTTTTTTTTTTTTTTAATTTTCATCGTGTTCACTTTCTCCTGCTACAGTGCATCTTCATTTGTTTAATGATGTCTCTGCCCGGTTTCAGAATGTCTGCTCCCGAAAGGAAGGGACTTGGGTCCATGGTTGGATCCCTTGCTCTGTCAACATTTGTCCAATGAATGAATGATTGAACTTTTACAGTAGAGGTCCCCATTCAGCATTTCCCTAAAGGACAACTCTTAATTCTTTCTCTGAAACACCGTCCCCCCTGGAGTAAAGCTGCACAGTCCTGTGCCTCAGGCAGCCCTGTTATTTCTATCTATCAAGCTTCAGAAAGGTAAGTGGGTGAGATTTGTGCCTGCACAAGGCAGAAGGAAACTTCCAGATACCCACCAGCCAGATAAACAGCCCACAAAGAGATTCTCCAAGGGCCTGCTGGCTCAAAACAATGCCTTAGGAATGTGACTATTGGATACAGGCAGAAGGAAACTGAAGAAGGCTCCACACATCATATCATTGACCCTTGCAACAACCCCTAAATGGAAGTCACATTGTATCCCAAGTGGTAATCTGATTAGTGACATTAGTGACTAAACTAGACTTTGCACCCAGTGTCTACTGGTGTCTACTGGTGCCCCACAGAGGGCCCTAAGTAAAGAAAAGTGAACATAAATCACTGATACTGTCAACAGATCTTTGGACTTTTAGGAAACATTGAGGCTGAGTAAGTTAGAGAAAGCATTGCGGGGACCATACACAATAACTGTTTTGCTTATGGAATTCTGACTTCCAGAAACTAGCTTTGAATATAAATGCAAGAATTGTCACAAGCAGCTTTAGATTATTAAAGGGAAACAATTAATGAGAAACGGATGGTGCCTTTAGCTTTTTAATTCTGTGAATAAAAATCTGTCAGAGAGAGTAAACACTGATAACAAAAAGAGAGCATATTTAGCTAAAGAAAAAAGAAGTCAACTAACCTCATGATTGTGTACTGCAAATTGTAGTAAGCTGGTACAATGGAATCATTTTTGAATTCCCATGATAAAACTGGCCGTAGATTCTGTAATTTCATTTTTAAAACACAGGGTTTCTCTGAAAAATTGAAAGGGGTAGGGGGTGGCAGAGAAAAGCATTGGTGTTTGGAGCCCAGGGTGTCTTTTGGCCACTGTTCAACCTTTCCCTTGGGATAGCCATGGGGTCTTGAAGCACAGTAAATCTGCTGGATACAGGAAATGAGCTAATCAACATAGCTTCTTAATGAGCAACACATTTTTGGAGCAAGCAAGTTCAAGGAAGCAGAATTTGTCCAGAAGGGTTGTTCTGATTATTGGTGACTTGAGGGATGTCATGAGACCCAAACAATTCAGATCCTCCTGGACTACATGGAGTGTATCCCTCACTATCCCCATGCCAGCCCCTCAACCCAGCTCCTCGCTCCTCCTTCCATCAAGTCCTCTTTAAGCAGGACTACAATCTGCTCTTGCACTGGATTCCCCACTGCACTTCCTTCTTGTTACAGAGAAGCAGAAGGTGGGAGTGTAGGTGTGGCCTTCTGTAGACCGGCCCTTTGTAGGCCATAGGCTTCCAACAACGTCCCAGTAGGTAGCATTCATGGGTCCATTTTACAGAGCAGGAAACTGAATTGTTATACAGTGTTATGCAGCCCGGAAGCATGGTGGCAGCTGAGAATTGAAGGCTACCCCTTGTCAAGCTCTGCCTTATACGGTAAAAAGTTGTAATGAACTTCTGGATTTCCTGTTATTAGTACTCAGGCCTTTGTGGTGGTCAACTGTGTTTATCACAAGATCTGACACCTGTTGAATGTTTAGTGGAGATCTAAAACTAATTTATATAAGTAGATAAGAAATTCAGTTGACGTATTACTTAGTCAAAAGACCAAGAAGTGGTCATAGTTTTAAAAAAATGTTTTTTTCTTATCTGGAATGAACAAGTGGGAAGAATGTAAATGAAATGGAAATTATTTCTAGATAATTTTTTTTTGTTTGGCATTACTGGGGTCTCCCCATTCTTCCATTAGTGAGAATAGTAAGAGTTTGAATATTCTTTCAAGGGTTTTTCAAATGACCTCTAGTGTTAATTTCTACAAATAGCATTGAGAAAAATTAGTCATAATTTTTTCCCTTTTACAGGCTTCCAATAAAATAGACAAAAGATCTGGGATAAGAAATCGAATGGTCACCTCAACAGTTTATTCAAAATGTAATCAAAACACCAAAATCTCTTACCAGGCCAAGCACATGAAATCCCAAACATCAGGCTGATGTACACTAGGAAGAAGAAAAGCATGTCAGAAAACAAGCAAGTTTTCTCTGGGCTCAACTTAGAATCATCGCTCTAAGTTTCAGCGTCTTCTCTATACATGTATTCATATTGGATTCAAACTTTCTTGTGCTTGATAAAAAGCAACAAAAAACCAGGGGTGGGTGTTTGAGCTGTTGTTTAAGATGTTATCTGGGGGGACAGCCACATCTCATATTAGAGTATGTGAGTTTGAGTATCAGTTCTGGCTTCTGACTGCAGGTTCAGCAGACATGCACCCAGGAGGCACAGGTGATAGCTTAAGTTGTTGGGTCTCTGCTACCCTTATGAGTTCTTGGCTCTTGGTTTAAGGCCAGTCCAGCCTCAGCTGTTGTGGGCATGTGGGGAGTAAACCAGCAGATGGGAGCTGTCTGCCTAGCAACATGTGGTCTAAGAATTATACCCTGAGTTTATGCAAAAGCAGATCTATGCAAGATCTGACACTAACAACGAGGACTGGGCTGGTTAATGGTATACCCTGAGAAGCGCTTATCTTCCTAGAACATTCTCCAAATGTGAATGAGCATGTTGCTAATTAATAAACTTCCTGGTGGAAACTGGTGAGTCTCATCATGGGGTCCTTTTGTCTGGATGTGACAATGACTTTAGGGATTTGGGCTTACCAGCATTTTAGTAAGAGGACAGCAAGGATGCTAACCATTGTCAAGTGCAGGCATGGCCTGCACCCAGAGAACCATCCCTCTCATAGATTCTCTACTGCTAAACCATGGAAAAGATGACATAGGGACATGGAAAAGGGATCAGTGGGAAGGCAGTGAGAGGGTTTGATCAATAGCACTCAAGGAAAAAAATTACAACCAGCAGGGTTCAGAGATGAGCTTTCAGCCTGATGGATGTGGTAGGAGATAAGGAGCTTGATCTTTTTTTTCTTTTTTTAATTGTGTGTTTGTTTTTTAAAGATTTATTTTATTGGCAATGCAGACTTTATAGACAAGGAGAGACAAAGATCTTCCATCTGCTGGTTTACTCCAGCCACAGTGGCCGGAGCTGAGCTGATCAGAAGCCCAGACGCCAGCAGCTTCTCCTGGGTCTCCCATGTGCATCTGCTTTCCCAGGTTGTAAGCAGGGAGCTGGAGAGGAAATAGAATAGCCAGCTGGGACAGGAACCAGCACCCAAACGGGATGCTGGCACTTGCAAGCAGTGGATTAGCCAGTTGAGCTATTGCACCGGCTCCAAGGAGCTTGACTTTCCTCCCCGCTCCTCCCCAAATAGGGCGACAAATTCTACCCTGGACAACTAAAAGAAATCATCTTCAAATTACACACAAAGTGTTCCTCATCTTTACTGAGTTTTATGTCACTCTTGACACAGCTGCTACAGGTGACTGGACACTAGGCAGGGCCCTGGTGCTGAGGACATCATAGGCTTGTTCCTGCAAGAGTTAGGATAGAAAGTAACACTTACCCAAAGCACCAAAATGAAGGGACTGGATGGCTGCAACACTCAGCTTCAAAAGCATCTTTCTTGGTTATTTTTTAAACTCTGCTTCGTTCTCACCTGAAGGGAAATCAGGGCAAGTGAGCAAAATTCTGGTGTCCCAATTGTAAAGAGAAGCACGGAAGCAAAGATCAGAGCACTAGGCCAGCAATATGGTCAGATTCCCGAGTCCAGGCTTCTTCTACCCTCCATGGGACTGGACCCCACGCACTTACTCACCCTTCCTCAGTTTCTCACACCGACCTTCTTCCTAGCCAGTGGGGATATTCTTTGAAAGACAGGGTTTATTTATTTATTTATTTATTTGAGAGGCAGAGTTAAGAGTAGGAAAGGGAGAGAGTTGAAGAGGTATCTTCCATCGCTGCTTCACTCCCCCAGTGGCCCTGACAGCTGGGGCTGGGCCAGACTGAAACCAGGAGTCTGGAACGCTATCCTGATCTCCCGTGTGGCTAGCAAAGCCTTAGAACTGCAAGCCAATCTCTACTGCTTTCCCAGGTGCCTTAGCAGGGAGTTAGATCAGATGTGGAGTAAGCTGGGACATGAACAGGTATCTGTATGAGACACCGGTGTTGTAGATGGTGGCTTCACCCGCTGGGTCACATTGTCAGCCTTTAGGGAACAGTCCTAAACTTTCAAACAATATAAACAGTCACTTCCTTCAAAAAATTAAGCATACAAAAACCTACTGAGGAATCTTGTTCCTTTAAAAGACTTTTCTTTCCCCCAAATCTTCCAGAATGCCTTTAAACATAAGCAAAAAGTATATCTCCTAACCCTCCCTCTTCTTTAGACAACAGACATGAAAATGCACATATAGTCCCTGCTCCACTGTGATTTCACCATTTCAAATATATATATTTGAGGGGTGCGGGACAGTGCCATAGCTCACTAGGCTAATCCTTTACCTTCAAATGCTGGCATCCAAATCCCATATGGGCACTGGTTTCTATCCCAGCTGCACCACTTCCCATCAGCTCCCTGCTCATGGCCTGGGAAAGCCATGGAGCATGGCCCAAAGCCTTGGAACCCTGTACCCATGTGGGAGACTGGGAAGAAGCTCCTGGCTCCTGGCTTCGAATTAGCACAGCTCCAACCGTTGAGGACACTGGGCAGTGAATCAGTTGGATGGAAGATACTCTTCTCTTTCTCCTCCTCTCTGTATATCTGACTTTGTGATAAATAAATAAATCTTTTTTAAAAAAGGTATTTTATTAGCATCTGAGTTATGAGTTGTAGTTAGAATTCTGTTCCACTGTTGAGGTAAGAAAGGAACTCTTCAAGAAAGGCAAAGAGCTCCAGCAGGTCTTGTTCACTCTGTCCTTGGGCTCTTGTACACCTCAAACACTAGGGGTCTAAGGCTTCAGATCCAAAGCAAAAATCGTATCATGATGTAGCAGATTGAGCCCAAGCCAAAAACTTCCTTTAACAGGTCCTCTTGACTGTCTTGTCCAAGAAGCTCCATGTCATCATTTGTATCCCCGCTGCACATTCTACCTGCACACTGATGAGACTTTTAGGCCCCTTGGCCCACAGCTTATCCCACTGTACAACGCCTACTTAGAAACACCTGCTAGGAGACCTCTGTGATGTATTTGGTGCCAATCCTCATCTTCACAGTGGAGGAGATGCATGGTTGCACCCACTCCTTTAGATGCTGGGCACATCTCAATTGCTGCTGTTATAGCTGATGCAACTCCGTTATATATCTTCTGTTCTATATCAATTTTCTGTTACATATCTGGCAATGAAGATCCAGTCCCCAAACATGAACTTCTAACACACACAGAGGTTCTGCTTTCCTGCCCTGAGCAGGAAGTCCACTTCCCCTTGTTTTGTTCCTGATGACCCAAACTCTACTCTGAACCTTATGTCTGACAAACAGATTTGTGCTTGTTTGCAAAAATCTAGTTTTGCGTTTTGTTCTCTAGTCTGGATTGCCTTTTTTTTTTTAATTTTAAAACTTTTTAAAAATTGATTTGAAAGGGTTGAGAGACATACACAGAAGGATCTGCCACATGCTGTTCTACTCTCCAATGCTGGCAACAGCTGAGACACCTGTGTGGGCAGTAGAGCCCTTACTGCTTGAGGCTCCCATGTGCGTATTTGCAGGAAGCTGAAGTGGGGGAGTGGGGGAAGTGGGGATTGGGGGAGTGGGGGAGTGGGGGAGTGGGGGTGTGCCTCAAGCCCAAGACCCTTGCCGGCATTCCAACGTGCGGTCTAAACATCTTCAGCCAATGTCTGTACCTCCTGCCAGAAATTATTTTAATAGAGACCTTTTCAAACTCTCCCCGACTTCAAATAGAGCAGTCTCCCTAAAGCCTGCCTAGTCTCGTCTCTGCCGGGAGGGCCAGCTTCTGCCCCCAGGGTCCCCTGGGGCTGACCTTATGGGTGTCACTCATGACCTTAGGGTTGTCACTAAAGGAATCCCCCACCCAGGACAGGCACCTGCATTCCAAAAGACCCATCCCCTGCATTTCTTCCAACTACGATGCCCACAAGAAAGCAACTCCAGTCTCTGCCCACTTACCCATTTCTCCAAACTCCCTACTCCTCCAAATACCCCAAGATCCTCAAACTAGGAAAGACCCAGCCCATTGAAAGACTGGGTATCTGCAACACACCCCTCCTGTCAGCATGTTGGCGACTGATCACCCTCTTTGGATTTATTTTCTCTTTGTTCCAACAAACACTCTTGGCTGAACAGTCTTCTGTGACTGCCAGGATTTTTGTAGTAATTCTCTCTTTGCATTTGTAGTCTGTGAGTGGGAGGCTGGTGGGTCAGGGAAAAACACACCCCGAGATGGAAGCTTCAGCTCACACAGGCATGGCTTCTGTTCCCTGCAAGATGTGCTCTCAACAGCTGATTCCCAGGCCCTGCCACCCTTTGCATGGGTGCCAGCTGGGTGACACTGGCAGAGTCCCAGTGTTCCTCTAAAGCCCTCCGTGCATGAGTGCCAGGGAGTTCAAGATCAGGTATGCCAGTCCAGATCAGGTAGTGCCTACCTTACCCAGGCTGGTTGAAGGCTGGGTCCGGAGAGGATGAGCCTGTAGTTCCCCGTTAAGCCAGGCACCTAGCATGCTCTATTAAAGGTTTAAAGACCTCTGGGTGGGGCCACTATACTGAGGGTTGGGATGGGAGGTCCTTGGAAGAGGAGATGCTAGGCTCAACTTCACCGGAACCTGTCACATGCTGGATTGAGGAGCAGGTGCCAAGAGGGGGACTCCAGGCCTAAGTGTCTGTATGCCTGCAATTGCCTGGGCAGAGGAGCCCCAGCAGCTGTTGGGAATTCCTCATGAGCCCATCACTACCCTCATAGCCAAGGGATTACTCTTGTGCATGGCTCTGTGCCTGGGGAAGACCCTTGCTTCCTCTTTTACAACATTCTTGAACCTGGCTTAAGTTGGCTTCTTCTGGTTGGTTTGAAAGAACCTTTCAACACTTGTTATAAAATACTAGTCGTGGAGCCCAGTGTGATGGCTCAGTGGCTAAATCTGCCTTGCATGTGCTGGGATCCCTAATGGGTGCCGGTTCATGTCCTGACTGCTCTATTCCAAGCTCCCTGCTTGTGGCCTGGGAAAGCAGTCAAGGATGGCCCAACGCCTTGGGACCCTGCACCCGCATAGAAGAGCTTCGAAGAGTGAACCAGTGAATTGGGAGATGTCTGCCTCTGTCCCTCATCCCTCTCCTTCTCTCCCTTTCAAATAAATAACAATAAAACACACTCATATGATTACATATTTTTTGGAAAAAAATTAAATTAAAAAAAGTACAAAGAAAACAGTAACAAATGTCCTTATTTCTATTGTTGGGAAAGTGTTGCAGAGCAAAGGAGACACCGAGAGTGGACTCACAGCCAAATTGAATCTAATATGAGAGAAATAAATCCGAAGAGGTGACCAGCTACCAACGTGCAGACAGAAGCAGCACATGGGGAAGGCCCAGATTCTCCACAGGCTGAGCCTTTTCTAGTTTTAGAGTCTCAGAATGTCCTGAGCAGTGGGCAGGGGCTACAAAAGCTTTTTGTGGGTACTTTCACGGTTGATAGGTTTTGTCTCCTGGGAAGGTGGAAGGAAATGCAGGAATTAGGTGGGACCTTGTCAAGTGGCTGCAGAATCTTATCAGAGAACCGCCAGATGTGAAAGTGTAGGACAAATGTCACGGAGGACTGCATTTGGGCATGATGGCAGGCAGCCAGATCTGAATTTCAGCCCCATCATCTACCATTTAATAGAAAACATTCTTTATATTGGTGTATTCCTAGTTTATTTCTCAAGTATTTTTCTTGCTTTTTGTAAGCATTCTTCTGCATCTTTTTTTTTAAATGAAAATAATCTACATAAGTGTCCCATCGTTAACTTTAGGTAAACATAATCTCACTGACTTTTCTATACATAAACAAACACACTACAGTGTTTCTAAATTTATTTTTTATTTGGGAGAAAAGGTAAAAGAAAGCCAGAAGAATTGTTGAAATAAAAAATGTAATTCTGACCATAAGAAAAAACATCCTCTTAAAATAGCCCCTAGTCTGGACGTCGGAGTATTACATATTCATAGCACTTTGGAATTTTACAGAATATTTATGGTACGATGGTTTGAAAGGTAACAATAGCATTTTGATATTTCCTCTCCCCTTCCTCTCCTATGGGTGTACATTTTTCATGTATTTTGATCTAGATTTACAATAATCACATCCCATCCTATTTAATAGCTCTAAAGTTTGTATTAGCTCTGCAGTTAAATCGGATATTCATTAAGAGTCTTTTTGACAGGTCCTCTGCTCCAGAGTTCTCAACCTTGTTCTTTCCTGGCTTGTAGCACCCATCTGTTCCGTTTCCAAAAGGGCCCTTGGGTGCTGACTTTGCTCCATTCTTCAAGCCTGAGACTCTCAGACCCACAGACTCTCAAGTTGAGTGGGCAGGGAAGCCCCCTGGGAAAAGTCTGTGACCCCATGAACTCTGCCCTCAGAACAACCACCTGCTGGCATTCAGCATCTCTCTGGGGAAGTCAGGCCAGCTTGGCTGTCTGTGGATTCCTAAGGAATCATTTGAGATGAGGTGGTGACAAGCACACCTACAGGAAATTTTCTTGGATCATGACATGGTCTTTGGCCTATAGGCCATTTTATTTTTCGTTTCAATAAGTTTTTTTTTTTTTGCTCTATTTTAATTTGTGTTTTCTGTCCCTTGCGTCGGTTTCTCTACATTAGGAACTGCAATGAGCCCAGGCTTCTGTGTTCTGTCTTCCTAGTCAGACTTCTCAGCAATGGACTTGACCGTTCTCTTTTTATCTGCATTCGTCAGGCTTACATTCCGTCTTTTCCTCTAGTAAAGTGTTTTTATTTTTTGGTCATATTTAGTCTGTTCTGTCCTCCAAATTATCTCCTTTGCAATTGTATTTTTATGGTCTTTATCAATTATTCTCTTTGGTCTACAGTCTTTTTTATCACCATTAAAATTTTGTGTCATCCTTAAGCTTACTTCATTGAACTCAATTTTTAATCAAGTTGTGGGAGGTCTAAAGCAATCACAAGGAACTTCTGTTCCAAGACACACACACACACACACACACACACACACACAGAGCAAGACAGCCTGCTAGGGGCGTTGTCCTTTTCCCTTTCCCCCAGGGAAGGAGAGCATGCTGGGGTTACATTCGTTTGTTATTTCAGAACAAAGACTGAAATGGAAAGCAGGTTAGTTCCCCGCTAGTCAAATAAACAAGAGGACAGAGTTTCCACACTCCGGTACTTTCCGATTGATTCGCTCGGGCGCCCCACACGCCCAGCACCTGAAGAATGATCTTTCCCAACGGCTCGCCCGACTGACCCGGCGGTGGGGGGGTCTGGGGTCCCCGAAAGTGTCCCCGCATTCCTCCCCTCAACCCCGGTTCCCCACCGACGGATCTCGAGGGCACAGGACTCCAACCTCGGCTGGAGCAGCGACTGCTCCCAGGCGGGAGAGCAGGTGGGGGCAAAGCATACTCAACTCTGGGGTGCAGGGGCAGGAGACCCCGGAACCCGAGGCCTCACCCAATGAGTCCGTTTTGAAAGAGGGCTGGATTTTGAGGACTGCGACCCCCTAGCCTCCTAACGATGCCCAGGCAGCAGTGACAAGAGCCAGGTGACCCGCCCAAGCACTCTGGGCTTCCTCGTCGGGGAAGACGACACCCTTTATTCGGGGGGGAAAAAAGGGATACACAAGCCTGGACTCCCAGCCAAGGAGGCCCCCAGCAGGGCGATGACTGACGGGGCCGCCCGCGGCATCCCAGAGCAGCTGGAGGGCTGCGGGGTCTCCAAGGGTCCCCCATGCGGGGCGCAGGGCGCGCGGACTGAGGTCCCAGGATCCGGGCACGGCCGCAGGGCCGACCAGAGGACTGCAAGGGGCCTCCACCCCACCATGCCGCTTTACCTTGGCTTTGAGCACCACGACTCCTGTCAGAGATGCCGGCCTCCGGCCCTCCACCCAGAGTCGGGGCCTTGGGTTCGCAGCCAGGCGCCCCCAGTGAGCTTCCCGCCGCCGGGATGCGAGCTCCTGGCGGCCCCTTGGGCAGCGGAACAGGCAGGCGTCAGAGGGCGCTCCGCGAGCCACCAGGGAACTCCGGGGTAGAGATGGCAGCGTCGGTACGCAGGCCGAGGGCTGGCGCTGGGCCTGGCAGAGGGAGCGCGGGGGCGGGGCGGGGCCTGCGGGGGCGGGGCCGGCAGAGGGGCGGGGCCTGCGGGGGCGGGATCGGGAGCCCCGCTGAGGGAGTGGGGCGGGGCCTGCAGAGGGGCGGGATCGGGGCCTCGCGGAGGGAGTGGGGCGGGGCCAGAGGCTGCACTGAGGCGGCCGCAGCAAGGGGCGTGGCCACGCCAAATAGGGGCGTGGGCGGGGATGCCGAATGACATCACTGCCTGGCTGGGTCGGCTCTTAAACTCCGCCTCAGGGTTGGAAGGTGTTGGGCGCGACAAGGAAGGAAACAGGTTCCTCAGTATTTGAAACTGTGATGTGATGGGTTCTTCACTGGCTTCCCTACTTGTCAGTCACCTGAGCTTGCTCTGAGTGTAATTTTCCCACCCAGAAAACGGGAGAAGACTACCGACATCCCAGTGGGAAGACTGGAAAGCGGACTTCGCCCCCCTACCTGGACCCTGCACCCCAAAGCTTTTCCCTTCAGACGCCGCCCCCAGATACCAGGCAGGTAGAGAGGACACCCTTCATTCGTCTGTCTACCTGTGATATGCCCTGTCAACGTCGAAGGAGGATGCGAGTTCATTTTCAGTAACATGTGCACACCCTGAACATTAAGCTATCAGAAACAAAGCAATATACTTTTTCTCAACAAGAGCATCATCCACCCAGAGAAAAGCTGAATAAACTAAGAACCAACAACTCTTTTGATGTCTCAGTGAGTAGAATCCTAAAGTCAACAATAGGCAAAGGCGAGAATCACAGTGGGCCGGGACCAGGCAGCCTCCAACACAGCAAGAAAAGGTGAACAGTAGCCGTCGAGTTTCTGGAGGCTGCAACTGAACTAGTTGAAGAGATAAAAACTCCTGGAGCATTGAGCAGCATGATGGCAAAGCAAAATAAGGTGCTGCCAACCATGCCAGCGTTCAAATAATCACTGCTTCCTGTCCTGGCAGCTCCTTTTCCTGTCCAGCTCGTTGCTACTGAGCCTGCGGAAGCAGCAGGAGATGGCCCAGCACATGGAACCCTGCACCCCGTGGGAGGTCTGGACGGAGCTCTGCATTCCTGGCTCCCACCTGGCCCAGCCCCATTATGGAGCCCATTTGGGGGGTGAACCAGCAGATGGACGTACTCTCCTCTCTGTAACTCTGACTTTCAAAAAAGGAAAGACTTTTTTTTTTTTTAATTAAACCACAACAGCTGAGTCTTAGTGTAACACCCCTGCTTTCTTGAGCTTCACTCTGAGAGGTCCTGTGCTAGTGATGACCCGGAAAGGGTCTCCCCTGTCTTGGTCCAGGGGAGAGAGAAAAGACAGTTTTGAGATATGCCCTACGTGTTCTGTAACACAAGCCTGTCTTCATGGTGAAACAGACCCACATGGGGGAGAAACCCAGGTTCACAAGCAGGACACGGTGGTCATGTAGCAGGGAAACAGGTTCCACAGAAACATCAAAGTCGGATAAAGACAAGAATGCCTAGGATAGGAAAGGAGGTAAGGAAATGCTGGCTGGAACAGCTTAGGAAGCTCCCAGGATTGTAAATACCCAAAGTTAACTGCTGTGTATTTGTCCCTGTATCTCCACTCACTTGCTCTCACCAGTGCTAAAGATAGCTCACACAACTGCTCTATAAAACCTTGAGAAAGGCCCCGGTGTCTGGCTTAGCAGCTAAAGTCCTCGCCTTGAACGCTCTGGATTCCATGTGGGTGCTGGTTCTAATCCCAGCAGCCCTACTTCCCTTCCAGCTCACTGCTTGTGGCCTGGGAAAGCAGTCAAGGATGGCCCGAACTCTAGGGATCCTGCACCAGCACGGGAGACCTGGAGAAAGCTCGTGCCTCCTGGCTTTGGATCGGTGCAGCACCGGCCATTGCAGTCACTTGGGGAGTGAATCATCAGATGGAAAATCTTCCTCTCTTTCCTCCTCCCTGTATATCTGACTTTGCAATAAATATAAAAGTGAATCTTAAAAACAAAACAAAACAAAAAACACCCTTCAGAGAATAGTCTTTGGGGTTCAGCGATTGTGGAGTGATCTGACCTGATGTCTTATAGAGTAAACCAAGGTTTTGTTTTTTTCCTTTCCGCAAGTGGCATTTCTAGCATCTCTAGAAATTGGTACTCAGTTTCTATAACAAAGGGGTGTTACTTCATTAGCCTCCGATCTCAGAAAAGGGCAGTTAGTTTAGCCCAACCAACCCTCCTGGCTATGTGTGTATGTGGAAACAAAGGTAAACTTCTCTGGAGATGATAGCACATTGATTTTGGCTCATTTTTTTTTTCAAAGGCTTTTTTCCCCCTGATTTTTATCTGAAAGGCAGAGTTACAGAGAAGAGAGGAGACAGAGGCAGATGTTCTAGCTCACTCCCCAAATGAGTGGAGCAGCTATAGCTGGGTGGATGTAAAGCCAGAAGCCAAGAGGCCAGACGCTTCTCTGGGTCTCCCCTGTGGATGCAAGTGCTTGTGCCATCTTACACTGCTCTCCCAGACCATAAGCAGACTGCTGGATCAGAACCGGTGCAACCAGGACATGCACTGGCATCCTTAGGGAGTGCCGGTGTTGTAGCAGAGGTTTAGCCTACTATGTCACAACATGAGCTCCATTTGAGACGTAATTTTTCCAAGATCAGACGAGATCGGGCGCGTTCAGGGTGGGATGGCCGTAGATGAGACTTAATTTTTTAAAAGCCAACCATGAGCTTTAGTCACAGGGTTGTAAAAGATCTCCCCCCCACCCCCTATTAAGCCAAAATACACACAGCCATAATACCTTACAACCACATCATCAGAACATCTGTAGAATAACAATAGGTTTTAATTGTATTTAAGAAGGCATTTCTAGAGAAACTTACTAGATGAGATTATATGAGCCAACACCATAGCTGTAGCCAACATGGCTTGTGCAAACACCCTCCACTGAAGGACTATGCATCTTGGTGCCTGATACCTGATACATCTAGCTTTCCATAGAAAAGTCACAAGGCAGAGGTCAGTGTCATGGTGCAGTGGGTGGAGCCGCTGTTGGCAATGCTGACATCCCAATGGGAGCATCAGTTCAAATCTGAACTGCTCACTTCTTGTGCAGCTCCCAGCCAACGCCTCTGCGAAAGCAGCAGAAACGGCCCAAGGCCTGAGCTTCAGTCACAGGACGGTAGAATACCACCCACATGGGAAAACTCAGGAAAAGTTCCAGGCTCCAGGCTTCACCCTGGTCCGTCATGGCTGTTGTGACCATTCATGGAGTTGTGAGGAGTGATTTGAAGGTCGTCACGGAGACTGATACCCTGGACCTGGCGCCATTTCCTCTTCCTCACAGCTCAGGAAGTTCGAGCCAGCCTAACCATCCACCAATCAGATGTAACCTGGCATTCCAGCTGAGAATCCCACCCCCAATCTCCCAGCCCCTTCCCCAACCCCGCCCACTCACCAGTCATCCCCAGGCACTAGTCCCCTGGGGCCTGCTCTCGACCCCTCCCAATCCCCGCCCCCACACCTTGTGGGCCTACCTGCATAAAAGGTCCCAGGTATTTCCTTCTGCCCTTTTCTCCTGATCTCCACCACCTCCACCTTGTTCCTGCCCCGCTGGAATAAACCTCTAAGATACCTCGTTGCGTCTGGTGTTTTCAGCTCACGGTAAAGAACCAGGTTGTGGGAATTAGCTGTGCGTAAAGTATCTTAATATTGTATGAACTAGAACTAGAACTCTAATACTGTTTTAAATAACTAACAGGAGTGAAGCAGATAACAGGTCTCTTTCTCTGTAACTCTGCCTTTCAAATAAATATATTTTTTGAAAAGACTACTACAAGGTATATAAAGGGCAAGGAATAAAATCTGAAAAGTCAGGCTTAAGGATAAGACTCAGGTGTGACAGAGAATTTGCAAAGATCAGAGTACACGTTTAGAATCAGCACGGAGGTGAGGGTTTGGTATAGTGCTGAAGGCACCACTTGGGATGTACCTTATATTGAGGTGCTTGGTTTGTATCCCAGCTCCTCCGCTTACAATCCAGCTTCTTGCTGATGCTCACCCTAGAAGGCAGCAGGTGATGGCTCAAGCACTTGTTCCCTGCTGTATTTGGGAAGCCCAGAGTGAGCTCCAGGATCTTGCTTTCAACCTGGCCCAGTCTCAGTTGTTGCAGGCGTTTGGGAAATGGAACCAGCAAGTGGGAGATCTGTCTATGCATCTCTTTCAAACAAAATTAAAATAAATCAATGCAAAAAATGACATCCATGTAATTCATACATCAAGGGTTCTATGGTTTCCTGGATGTGTGATATTTGTCTCGGTTCCTGACACGCACTGTCTGGGTCTTCTGAGTGACTGGGGTGATTGCTGCTTCCGTTTGAATGGTGACTCTTGGGGAGCAGTTGGATACTGTCAAGATGAAGGCTGGGCAGCCAGAAAGACCAAGCCTTCTACAATGAAGCCCACAACCTTCCTCAAACTGGAGACTGAGTTAATGATCAATCAAGTCTGCCTGACCAGGCCTCCCTGAGAGCTCCTGGACTGGTGATCAAAGCCAGGTGCTGAAAGGATGGCGCACCTGGGGAAGGCATGAATTCTGCTCCTCCTGCATCTCATCCATCTGGCTGCTCCACGTGCATTCCTGAGTCCTGGGAAGAACTTCAGGAATTTTGTAAATGTTCTTTTTCAAGTTGAGGCTAGTAACTGACTTCAAACAAAGGTAATCAAGGCAAAGTATAAAGTGATTGTAGGCTGTGGATAAGTGGATATGGCACAGCAGCAGTCTGAAGAATGGGAAAGAAGGGTTTGGAGCACTGTTATAATGGACCTGTACTACCCAGGGAATCATACAGTGAGAATTCGAATTCCTTGCAACATAATATTGCATACTCTAGGGAAATCACTAAATGTATGCCTTAAAAAAAAAACATAATTTTGGGGCCCAGCATGATAGCCTAGCTACTAAAGTCCTCGCCTTGAATGTGCCAGGATCCCATA